TCAAAGTTGTTAGGGCTGAGACCACTGTATAAAACAAGATCAAGTGTGTGGCCCTTAGAGTGAGTGGGTTCCTGTATTGCCTGAGTAAGGTTAAAAGATTTTAGAATATCTATAAAATCACCCGCGAGGGACTGAGAGGGGCAACAGACATGTATGTTAAAATCACCTAAAACAAGGATTTTATCATACTTAGAAATAAAATGTGATAAAAACTCTGAAAAGTCTGCAAAAAAAACATTGTTAGGTCTGGGTGGTCTGTAGATGATTAAAATGAACACAGCATTAACTCATTAAAATGAGTGTGTAAAATTGGAGTGCATTTAAAATCTTTTCTATGAATAACAGCAACCCCCCCCCTCCCTCCCCCCTCCGATGAAGGTGAGTGTAATCAGGGGGGGTTGCTTCAATCAGAGGACTGCAATCTCTCATAGTCAACCAGGTCTCAGTGACAATAAAAAAGTCAAGATTATTATGATTTATAAAATCAAGGCAGATAAAAGATTTATTATTAAGCGATCTGATATTTAAAAGACCAAAGTTAGCTGAAGTGCAATTAAAGGTTGGTTGTAAGGAGAGGTTGGAGGCGTACTTGGGTGAGATTGGAGTGGTTACAGTAATTGACAGGTGACAGATGTTGATGAGACAGTCTGCAGGTGACGTGTACAGGGATAGTGAATTCAGTGCTGTGGTCTGTGACAGTAGAGAGTGTATGACAGTCATTGGAGGACAGAGAAGAAGGAGAAAAAGAGTGACACCAGGTGTGAGGAGCAGGGGAGGGGCTTGCTGTGAGTAGATTGTTCTGAGGTGAAACAGGTGAGAGGGGATTGGATGTGGGTGTGTGCTCAGATGAATGTCATACAGGTCTTTTAGTCTTCTTCACCTAGCCTCTCTGTCTAACTCAGCGTCAGCATTCAAATATGAAAAAAGGGAAGTTTCAGATCCCTGTATAGCTGTCAAAAAGCTCTATTGATGAAAAGATGAAGTATTTTGCATAATGTAGAGGAAAGGAGACTGAAGTAGAACATCTTTGTTTTTATCTACATTTCTGTCTCTAAACAACATTTCCATTTCATTTTTTTTTTTTTAGATTTACATGTTGCAGGCCATGATCACATGATATGGAGCACAAACAGAACCCAAACACCAACCATGATGCATTGCATGACCTGATTACAAAAAGTGTCTCGTAAACGGAAAAAAAAGGACGCGTCAAAGAATGAACAGTTTAGGAGTAACAGTTTGTAAAAACATTGACAGCAGGGTTCATTCATCACTTCAGAGGGCAGATCAGAAAAGGTAGCACGTTCTCTTTCTGTTATTGTGATTACATTTCATTTTGATTCAGAACAAACCTTTTAGATTTCACACGGAGGAAATGTCTCGCTGTATTTTATTCATATGGTGGCACAAAACACACACACACACACACACACACACACATACACTAACACACACACACACACACTACACACACACACACACACACACACACACACACACACACACACACACACACACACACATACACTAACACACACACACATACACTAACACACACACACACACACACACACACACACACACACACACACACACACACACACATACACTAACACACACACACACACACACACACACACACACACACACATACACTAACACACACACACTAACACATACACTAACACACACACACACACACACACACACACACACATACACTAACACACACACACAGACACACACATACACAACACACACACACACACACACACACACACACACATACACTAACACACACACACACAGACACACACATACACTAACACACACACAAACACACACACATACACTAACACACACACACACACACACACACACACACACACACACACACACACACACACACACATACACACACACACACATACACTAACACACACACACACACACACACACACACACACACACACAGACACACATACACACACACAACACTAACACACACACACACACACACACACACACACACACACACACATACACTAACACACACACACACACACACACACACACACACACACAACACATACACACACACAACAGACACACACACACACACACACACACACACACACACACATACACTAACACACACACACACACAGACACACAGACACACACACACACACACACACACACACACACACATACACTAACACACACACACACACAGACACACAACACACACACACACACATACACTAACACACACACACACACACACACATACACTAACACACACACACACACACACACACACACACACACACACACACACACACACACATACACTAACACACACACACACACACACACACACACACACACACACACACACACACACACACATATCAGATAATCTGGTTTTTGCTGACTTTGGTCCGAAGGCGGGAATCAGACCCTAAATCGTCCTGATTATCTCGTAGTGTGTACCCCGCTTTAACGACACAGCGGAGCTGCCAATTGAACATTTTCAGAACCTAGTAGCAACACTAAATGTTTGGATGAGCAATACAACGCTGTTAGTGGACACAAGCTGAACCCCCAAATCTTCAAGAAATAGCTCAAAATTTGACGAGAAAATATGTTTTGCATTCATTTCCCAACATAAGCAGCGGCTTTCTGGAGGACGCTTGTTGGACAGCCAGCAGTCTGACGTCCATCTATTTGTTTTCTCTGGAATTATTCAAATCACCTCTTTAGAAAAGTGATGTAGCCTTCTCCTATATATGTCCATGCATCCCTCTGACAGTGACGAAGGCTGAAACTTTTGCAGTGAAATATTTGAACCCTGACACTGAGGTTTTAGTTCCATTGAGAGCAGCCCACATCAGCACATCGAGGAGAGACGTCAGAGAGAAACATCAGACGAAGTGAGTTTGAACTTTGTTGTGTTTTCTGCAAGTTCATTTTGTGTTTGCTTTTTAGTTTGTGAAGTTTAGATTGATGTTGAAGTTTTTATTTGTATACAGTATTTACATTATTTACAGTGTGTAAAGTCTCCTTAAGATATTTTTGTGAATTACTTTTGAATTCACCAGAATTCAAATAATGTATTAATACTTCTCTTTATGAAACGTTCAATTCTATTTCTACCTTACAAATGACTATAATGAGTTTGCTTTCTACAAATTCCACCGTTGCTAAGGTGACTTTACGATGTTCAGCTTGTGATGACACTGTGCCAGAGCTATGACAGATTTCATCTTTTTTAAGGTACACTATATCCCCAGGACTTTTATTAAAAGAAAACATATTTCTGATTGTAGCAGAAGAAGAACATTTCAAGCCTATAATCCCCAGAGCAGTGTTGTTGTTGTTTTAATCTAGTAGGTTAACGATTTTGTGAATGAGCCAGTTATACTTTGACTCAAGTGAAAACCTTTTCGATGTTGAAAAATAAAGTGCCAAAAAACTGCAGTTCCAGTGTTTCCACTGTTTGAGGCTGGTTCAAATGACCCTTAAGCCCTAAAACATATTAAAATTACAATTTTTTTTAGGAGAAATAAACATGTTTACAGCCTGGTATGAAAGTTAGTAATGGGCACACACTGTACGGGGGTGGGGGCGGCGGTCTTTGTCCATGTTTGTATAAAGTCTATGATTTGGCTATGTTTTGCATACATGTATCTTCCTCATTGCACTGAACTTTGCATTCAGGAGGGACTGGTGCAGTTTTTTTTTTCTATACCTGTGTTTGTGTTCACAGCAGCCTTAATAATCAGTTTCAACAATCAGGCCGAAGATGCAGAGCAGTTTATTTCTGCTCACTGTGATGGGTAAGTGATCATTTCACCTGCTTTATAGTTCTGCTACTTTTACTGCTGCATGTAGGTTAAGTTTCAAAAACTCTCTCAAAAGTCACTTAAACTTAAAGGAAGACTGTGCGACTTTTTGATCCAGTAGATGTCGCCCTCGAGCACCAGCATGAAACCAAAAACAGACACCTCTGCTACACTGAAGCAGACAAACGTATCCTCTGTTCGAGCCGCAGTCGCCTGTGTCCTGCATTGTTGTGTTAGCAGGCTAATGTTAGCACACTTTAGTTAGCCCGTAGCTTCACATTGCATACAAATGAACACAGAATGAGCGTGATCTAAAAACGCTGACGTGACATCCAAATGATCAGTTTGTTCTTCTTCTCTCTAGTCCTTGACTTAAACAGCTTTTATACACAAGGGGAGGAGTTGACCGTCCGCTCCATGTAAACATGATATAAACACGGCAGCCGGCGATACTCACTCAAGACTCACAGATACATTTACATACTTGATTTCTGCCGTATTAATGAGTAACATGTTGCACATTCTTTCTTGATCTGGACTCATAACACAGCTGGCATAGAGAAAGAAACCACAGCTGGCATCCACACTCTGCTAAGTGGCCCCAAGTTGTCACAATATGACGTGCTGAGTGTTACTTTTCTTGTTTCAGGTCAGTGTTTCCTCGTCACTTGTCACCACATTGAGTACCACCTCATTGAGGAGGCAAAGACCTGGGATGAAGCTCAGAGATATTGCAAAGAGAAATACACAGACCTGGCTACAGTGTCTGACATGACAGACATGAAGAGACTCCGTGAGATTGTGAATACACAGGAAGCGTGGATCGGGCTTCAGAGCAACCCAGGACAAGCCAACAGGAGGTGGCACTGGTCTTTGCCAGGGACGCAAGGGGTGGCGTTAAGCGATCTTGAGACTTACTTTCATAATAAAGAGCCAAATGATCACAATAATATTCTTGAGAACTGTGTGCAGATTCGTATTAAAAGATTAAACAATGCCACCTGTGATAAAAACAATAAATTTATATGCTTCAATGGTAAGAAAGTTATACATACATTATTTTTACAATATACTTTAATTAAGACAACATCTGAACCCAGAGTCAAGTAATACTCATGTATCTGAAATTATGTTTCCTATGAACATCTACAGGAACGGAGGAATCCCCAAAAAGCTTCATTTACATCAAAGAGTTGATGAACTGGACACAGGCTCAGAATTACTGCAGAGACAAATACACAGACCTGGTCAGTGGACTAGATCAACTAGCTCATTTAGCTGACAACACTGAAAGTTGGATCGGCCTGTTCAGAGACACCTGGAGTTGGTCGGATGGGAGCATCTCATCTTTCCGACACTGGAATCTGGGTTTGCTGAAGGATGGAGTCAACCAGGAATGTGCAACTGTGGGAGAAGGAAAATGGGACTCTGCTGCCTGTGATGAAACAAAACCCTTCGTCTGCTATGATGGTACGTTTAGCAAAGGTCTGCCTCGATTGTTTTCTCCAAGCAGTGAATCAGTCAAAAGATCCACCAGAATCTGCAGTATTTATATTTCTAGTTTATATATGTTTTGGTGAGGTTTATTAGGTAGCGCACCTTTGACAGAGAATGTTTTAGAAATATAATGTAGATATTATGAAGCTCGAGAATTTGACTTAATTGCTGAGGGAAGTCAATAAAAACTACTTTTTGATCCAGTAGATGTCGCCCTCGAGCACCAGCATGAAACCAAAAACAGACACCTCTGCTACACTGAAGCAGACAAACGTATCCTCTGTTCGAGCCGCAGTCGCCTGTGTCCTGCATTGTTGTGTTAGCAGGCTAATGTTAGCACACTTTAGTTAGCCCGTAGCTTCACATTGCATACAAATGAACACAGAATGAGCGTGATCTAAAAACGCTTGCGTGACATCCAAATGATCAGTTTGTTCTTCTTCTTCTCTCTAGTCCTTGACTTAAACAGCTTTTATACACAAGGGGAGGAGTTGACCGTCCGCTCCATGTAAACATGATATAAACACGGCAGCCGGCGATACTCACTCAAGACTCACAGATACATTTACATACTTGATTTCTGATCTGGACTCATAACATAGCTGGCATTCACACTCTGCTAAGTGGCCCCAAGTTGTCACAATATGACGTGCTGAGTGTTACTTTTCTTGTTTCAGGTCAGTGTGTCTCCTTCACTTGTCACCACATTGAGTACCACCTCATTGAAGAGCCAAAGACCTGGGATGAAGCTCAGAGATATTGCAGAGAGAATTACACAGACCTGGCTACAGTGTCTGACATGACAGACATGAAGAGACTCCGTGAGATTGTGAATACACAGGAAGCGTGGATCGGGCTTCAGAACAACCCAGGACAAGCCAACAGGAGGTGGCACTGGTCTTTGCCAGGGATGCAAGGGGTGGCGTTAAGTGAACTTAAGACTTACTTTCCTGGTCATGAGCCAACTACTGGAAACTCTCCTGAGAACTGTGCGCGGATTGTTGGTGGAAAATTACTTGATACCCTCTGTGGTATAAACAAGACATTTATATGCTTCAATGGTAAGAAAGTTATACATACATTATTTTACACTATACTTTAATTAAGGCAACATCTGAACCCAGAGTCAAGTAATACTCATGTATCTGAAATTATGGTTTGTGTGTTAAGTTAGGAAATGTGGTAAAATATATGTTTCCTATGAACATCAACAGGAACGGAGGAATCCCCAAAAAGCTTCATTTACATCAAAGAGTCGATGAACTGGACACAGGCTCAGAATTACTGCAGAGACAAATACACAGACCTGGTCAGTGGACTAGATCAACTAGCTCATTTAGCTGACAACACTGATAGGTGGATCGGCCTGTTCAGAGACACCTGGAGTTGGTCGGATGGGAGCAACTCATCTTTCCGACACTGGAATCTGGGTTTGCTGAAGGATGGAGTCAACAAGGAATGTGCAACTGTGTTAAAGGAGAAGGAAAATGGGACTCTGCTGCCTGTGATGAAAAAAAACCCTTCGTCTGCTATGATGGTACGTTTAGCAAAGGTCTGCCTCGATTGTTTTCTCCAAGCAGTGAATCAGTCAAAAGATCCACCAGAATCTGCAGTATTTATATTTCTAGTTTATATATGTTTTGGTGAGGTTTATTAGGTAGAGCACCTTTGACAGAGAATGTTTTAGAAATATAATGTAGATATTATAATACGAGAATTTGACTTAATTGCTGAGGGAAGTCAATAAAAACCATTAGAAACCTTGGAAGCAATTCTATCACATACAATAAAAAGAACACCAGTCTTTGAATATTTAAGGAGAGTCAGACGAATTTACAAACAAAGTGTGTTATCAGGCAAGTAGACTTAAATGTCATCAGATTAACAAGTTTATTTATTGAGTATAGTTAATCAAATATCAGTTAGACCAAAACATAAAACATGGGAATACCTTAAACTCCATGTCACACCTACATGAACCCAGAGCTCCTGTGAGGATTTTTAGTAAGTAAGTAATTAAGTGAAGTTTATTTATAACACCTTTCAAGAGCAGACATCACAAAGTGCTATTAAAATGAACTGGAGTGAATATTGAGGCCTCTATGGTACACATGAAAGCAAAAAAGATTAATTATTTACATATTGTGATTTTCAATGCATGTGGCCACGGTGGGGTTAAGTGCCAAAACAGACTATGTTTAGTTTTTACACGGCAAAAAATTCATCATTGAGAGATACATTTGACTTTTAAAAGACATCAAAAGGAAGACTGAGTTTTAATCAGAGAATGCTGCTTACAGATGAATAGCACAAGTTCAACAAACAAATAGGAGTTTGTCCACAGGGGGCGCCAAAATTAACGTAAACCAAACATTCCTCACGGGAGCTTTAAGCGACTGTTTTGCGTTAAAGCAACAATGTGTCATTTTTCCAACTTGAAATAGAAGTTTCAGAGTCGGTCTAATAGAAAAATAACTTTCAACAGGGAGAATGGTGTCAGTCCCATGTCCACAGGGCGACCCCATTTCCTGTTTACATCACTGTGTCACTTTGGCATAAAAGTGTGCATTGGGCTTTACGACACTAGTTCACACACCAGCATTAACTTAGAAAAACTGCCAGTTAGCCCGTCGCTGTTCTGTTTGAAACAATGGCCGAGGCTAACAAATTGAAAAGGGTGACGGCGGATGAAGCTGAGAGGAGAAAAAAAATAGAGTACCTCTGAGCAAGAAGCTAGCCTAGAGTAAATATTGGACATGATTTTACACGTTGCAGGATACAGTAAGCTGCAAGTCCGGTGCCAAGCTGGCTATGTCACTTCACTATGAGTGTTTTACGACAGGGCAGTTGCACTCAGAGACCGTCGGTGGGCGTCAAAACTCACCTATCGAAATTGCTCTGTAACGTTTGCTCAAAGAGGCGTGATCTAAAGTGACATTTTTCCTGTCCCGTTCACTAACTTTTGAACATATAACGATAGATTCTGAGGATATCTGTTGGTTTTCAACAATGGCAAACAGGGTTTTCAACATTTGCGTTTGTGCTGTGTCATTTTTTTCCACGACAGACAAAGTGATCCTGATCAACGAAGTAATGACGTGGGAGGAAGCTGTCAATTACTGCAGAGAGAACCATCGTGACTTGGTCTCCATCACCGACCTTAACCAGCAGAGATGGGTTGAAGCCAGAGCCAAAAATGCCTCAACCGACCATGTTTGGCTGGGATTGCGCTACACCTGTCTTATGGATCTGTGGTTCTGGCTCAATGACAATCTGGTCACCTACGAGAATTGGGCTCACTCAGACGGAGAGTGTGACAGATGTTACTATGCTGCAGCCATGAACAAAAGTGGAAAATGGGTCAAAAAGGCTGATACTGAGACGTTTAATTTTATCTGTGCTTTAAAGTAAACACCCAACCTAATCCCTTTATATTTCTGCTGGATTTTCCTTAAGCAACTATAACGCTCTCTGTTGTTGCAGTTAAAAGAGTGGTTATATAACAAATAACAAGGATTTATGAAATGAATATGGCTTATTACTTATTATTAGCCACACTACAGCTATACAACTTTTCAATCTATCCGCTCATTCAGAATCAAGAAAGCTTCTTGTTAAAGTAGTTAAGGTTTCTTGTGTGAAAGTGTGACTCTTTCAGCATGCCTATACTGTTTGCTTCTCACAATGACAAAATATTTGACTTTTTTTTTTGTTAAAATCTGGTGGTGGTTACATCATCTAAAGCAAGTGATTCTCAACTAGTGGGTCTGGACCCAAAAGTGGGTCATGGAGATGTTTTCAGTGGGACATGCGCCTGGGAAAAAAAAAATGAAGAAAAGTGGTGTCAAAAAGTTCATCAAGCCCTTTTTTAAACATGTTTGTTTCGTTCTGTCACATGTTTTTACAACCTGAGGCTCAAACGGCATAATTTTCTATTAAGTAAATCTCAGTGGTTAAAAAAATGTTGTAAATTTGGGTGAACATTTTAGATGAAGGAGTTGATAGTGTGTACTGAGGCTAGACCAGTAGAGAACCACTGATGTACAGCATTTTTTTTTTGTCTTGATTACATTTTTCAGTTTTATGTAGGCTAAATAGATGATTTACTCATAATGTAAGCTTTACAGGTTTGTTTGTTGTTTGTTTTTAAAATGAAAAATTGCAACTGTCTGTAAATAAAATTAAACGAATAAGCTGATTAAAGTGTAAACGTATGTATTTGTCTAACCATGATAGTTAAAGATGACCTATTCAACAAGAAACACACTGAAAACAACGCCATGCAAGGCTCGAGCTCTAACTCCTGAGTCGTCGCGCCCTCTGGTGGCCATTCAAGGAATCTCACAGGAGACCAACTTGTTTAAAGAAGGACTACGAGGGACAAAAAATGACTAAAGTATAAATAAATAAATACATGAATAAATAAATAAATGTTGGGAGAAATGCATACAATAATGTATAAATAAATAAATATATAAATAAATATATATATATATATACATAAATGCAACAATTCATATAAAAATGAATATATGAAAAAATATATTCAGATATTTATTTATGTATTTCTGTGTCTATGTTGTACAAGGAAAAGTAAATACGTAAATTAAGTGGGCCGTCCTAACATTACTGAAGTAGGATTGGTCAATTTTGAAAAACAGACAGAAGCAAATTTACATATATACTTTTCCTCTTACGACCTGGACACCGAAATAAATAGATGTGTAAATGTAAAAATACGGAAATAAATTAATAACTCAATTAATGTGGAAATGTATGCATTGATACATATATAACTGTAGAAATATGCCAACAAATTAATAAATACATGTACAAATATAAAATAGCCTTTTTCATTCACAAAGTGTATTTATTATTTATTCATTGATGTATTGTTTTCAGTATTTATATATTTATTCATATATTTATTGATGCATTTATTTAATTTCTGATTTATTTATACATTATTGTATTCATTTCTCCCAACATTTATTTATGTATTAATTTATTTATTTATACTTTATTCATTTTTTGTCCCTCATAAAGGACACCATAAAGAGTTTGTAATAAAGAAAGGCGAAAGGGGCCTGAAGAAACACTTAACTTTTACAACTTATTTTCACAACAAGTTATTAACCGTCAAATAAAATGACAACCTCATAAGAGGGATAGTTTGTCCCAGTGTTCATCTGGGTGGTTCTAGTCTTAGAAATAAAAGATTCTTTGAATTATCTATACATTTTTCTATTACTTTTTTAAAATGTAATTTGATAATTCAATTCAACTCAATTCAGTAAAGGCAATGTTATGTTAGTTTTTTTTGTCACCCATTATTGTGTGACATAAAACTCTCACAAGACAGCACGTGACCTTTTTAAAGAGATTGTGATTGTTTATGTCATCTCTGAAAAATACGGTGGCTGATAAGTGCAAAGCAAATTACAAATGTGAGACAAATTTACATTTTGAAAAACCTTTTTACATTTTTAGAAAACAAAATTACAAAACCAAAACACTTGTACCAAGGAAAAAACACATTTATATTTTATAAAACAAATTTACAAAATGTGAAACACTTTTACAATCCCCATACAAATTTACAAACGACAGAATCTTAACAAAATGGGAATGTACCAAATGTCGGAAGTTACCCGGAAGTGATCGAGTGAGGGGTCATTTTGTTTGTTTTGTTTTGTTTTGTCGTGGTACATTCTCTTTCTGTCAAGATTATGTCGTTTGTAAATTTGTTTGGGGACTGGTAAAAGTGTTCTGCATCAGTGATTGTAAAAGTGTTTCACATCTTGTAAATGTGTTTTGTCATTGGTAAGGGTTTCTGGTTTTGTAATTTTGTTTCATAAAATGTAAAATGTTTTTCAAAATGTAAATTTGTCTCACATTTTGTAAAACTGTTTAACACTTTGTAATTTTGCTTTGCACTTCCCAGCCACCGTAGAATTTAGAGAAAAAAAAAAAAAAAAAAACAGGTGACGAAGAAAAAACGCAAGAAGGGAGGGGGAGGAAGGAAGGAAGAGTTGAGATGTCTCACTTGTAGTCCAGCTCGAGCGCTGTCACCCCGCCGCTGCTTGTAGGCTCCTATCATAATCACTCCCAGTTTATTTAAAACAAAAGTCAAAGTGTTTACGAAATGGAGGGTCTCTACGAATTCCCCGTCTTCTTCGAGTGTGCAAGCGTGGACGGAGAGCAGAAGAAGAAGATCGAAAGTTACTTTAAAATTCGCCGCAGATCCGGAGGAGGGGACTGCGGACCTGTGACAAACGTCAGCGACAAAGTTTACAGCATCGCTTTTAGAGATCGGGATGGTAAGTTGCGTGATTTATTTATTTATTTATTTTTTGGGGGTGGGGGGGTTGTGTCCTATAATCGTTGTTTTTCCACTTCATGATGATCGTCGTGTGCAAGTTGAAAGTGAAAGTATGCAATGGGAACACATGCAAAAACATGAGCTGCGTTTACAAGGACAGGCACTGATTTCATTACTTTCAGGTCCACATTCAAACTTTCTGACTGTTACTCTTTTTTTTTTTTTTTTTTTTTACATAAACCAGCAACTGAAAATCAGGTGTCGACTAAATTTACCCCCCCCCCCAAAAAAAAAAGTTCTATTGTTTCACTTTCACATGTGATTCAGGCTGCGCCACAGGGTGAAATTACAGATGTTGATTTTTTGGTCTCATATTATCTGTGGATCTAGTTAAATATGAGTGTATAATATTTTATAGTGTTATTATTTAATAACGCCATAATCACAGAGCTATAGGTCACACAATAGTCTTGAACATATCTGGCATGAGAAATGTTATGCAACAAAGAGACAACAAGGAAGAAAGATTAGGAGGTCAAAGGGCAAAAACTGGACTTTCAAAATATAGCCAGGGAAACGATAATAAATGAGCAAACATCCTGTTCAATTTTCAAAATAAAGTTTTTCAGTGTGGTCTAGCATGTCAAGCATGATCTGAAATGTTAAATCAGGAAGGAGCATTGACACCTGTCGATAAAGTTTCCTTTTAAAAACTCCCACAGAGAAAAGAAAAGTTGAAGTCTAAAAACCAAATTCCAAATGTGCCAGAAATGCATCAAACCATGACGGGAGCAGCTGACATTCTTTAGCTGACATGACTATAAAAAATTGATCATGCAACTCAAATATCGGGTCAGAAAACGTCCTAAATTCTTACAGTGTATATGTCCAAATGTCATTCCAGCTAATCAGTTCACCACATGACCTCTCTCATACATTATCTCAATTTGAGGAATGTTGTCAACAAACAAAGGTTGTCATCCAACACTAGTTAAGAGGATGGATTAATGGACTCTTTGGCGCAGATATGTAAGAGACTTCCTGTCCCTGAATAAAGGAGTTGACTGCAAATAGGCCTACGCATAATGATCTCAAGCTACACTCATTTCACCCTTTGTACTTATTTTACATCTGGTTGTGCATCTGTAGCCTCTTTCTGAGCTCTTTTTCTTCTGTGTTTTTTACTCTTTGTAGACGTTGTTTCACCTTTTGCACCTCTACTGTCATTTTGTCTGTTTTAAGGTGAAGAATCTCTTCATAGTCAATAGTTATTTGTCATCTCCTTTGTCCTATTGTAAATTTGTTTTTGCAACTATTTGTAGTGTTTTTGTAATTTTGGCTGTCTGTGCAATCATTTTTTTTGGTATTTGTAGTACATTTCCGATCTTGTTCGGTCATTTTTTAAATCGTTTGACGTCATTGTGCCTGTCTTCATGGTCGTCTTGTTAATCTTTGCTGTGATTGTGTAACTGCGTGTTGTTGTTTTTAAATAATGTTTTACAAGTCGAGAACAGAAGAGAGTTCTCATAAGTGCCTGCCATTTGGCTGGTATATAATTGCTGGTGAAAGTGAAAGTATAACTCTGTTTTGACCAACAAGATTAGCTTACACAAAGCCAGGGGAAATTCCAGATCCAGATTACAAACATATTTTTACTCTTACTCACACAGAGGCAGGTGAAATAAAGTTTGTGGAGAAAGGTGCAGCAACAAAACAACAACCTAAAAAGTCAGTGTTTATCTTGTAATATCTTATTTTCTGTATTAGCTCAGCAGAGGGTCCTGCAGAGATCTGAGCACGTCTTGGAGTCTTCTGGTGGTCCTGTGAAACTGACTGTACAAAGCAGCCCGATATCTGGAAGAAAGTCAATGAGCCCAATACTGGACTTCTCTTTATCAGAGGTTAGTGTGGAACTTTTTCTCACTGAATGCAAGGGTCCTGCTGAGTTATGTTTGACTTTAAAATACTTCGAAATACTTCAGAGTTTGTGTTTCAGGGCAAGGGCCACACCACCAAGAAGATTCTTTAAAAAAATATATATACACAAAAAAGTTGCTGCTTAAGGATTGGTCATGCTCCTTGACTTATAAATAAATATGGAACGATCCATCTTCTCTGTTTTTACAAAAATGAGGCCAAAATTCCCCTGCAATGAGCACATACAGATTGGGCTGGTCAGAGTCCTCAACTAATCAGGTTCACACAGCATTTGTCAACAGAGCTGTCAACAGAGCTGTCAATCATAGCGTCTGCTTTTTTTTGTTTTTTTAGCATCAAATTACTAATTAACACTTAAATTCTACGAAAAATTAACACTTGAGTATAAATATTAGCATATTAAGATCTGGCTATGATGACAGAAACCATAATTGAAAAATTATTGTATTTTAAATGTATAGTTTGACCTATTTCCATCTGTTGACAAGGAGGAGGTGGGGCTTATGACCTATACTGCAGGCAACCAACAGGAGGAGCTCCAAATGCTTTTTATACAGTTTATAGTCATGGAGTTATATTTCCAGACTTCTTGCAGGGAAAAAATCTGAATGAAGTCAGGATGAAAAATGTGTCTGTTTGAATGCACACATGCAAATCATCATGGAAGTTTCAGGAATTTTCAAGAGTTTTTGTAATGTGTAAAAAGGCTAGTTTTTTTTCAGAGTTAAAAAATGGATGTATGTCATTTTCTTCATATTCTGTGTGTCTGAAACATTTAAAGAATTAAGATAAAAACATTTTTTCTGTATATCTTTTCTACAGCAGAGTCTGCCATCATCTCTAACTCCTAGCTTTCTTACAAGTGGGGAAGAACATGAACTACATCTTGATAATTACCTCCTTCGTTACCTAAAGGAGTGCCCGAAAGCTAATAAAGCACTTGAGAAAGAACTTGCTTCTGTTTCCTGTGCTGCCCAGCTTTTCCCAGTGGAAGGTAGGGTGATAGTTAGGAGTATACCTCCTCCTGATGTTGTTCATGACAACACAGATTGGAAAGGTATGGCAGCCAAAATCTTTGATGGTTACATGTGCCACTATGAGGTCGAACCTAACAAAGTTAGAGCTTTGCTTCAGTCCTGCAGCTCAGCTCAGATCACATATGATGTGAATGTTTACAGTGAGGTTGGGATGGCTGTTGTTGTAGGGAGGTGTCCACAGGTGGAGGCCATGTTGATGGCTGTAGAGGACTTGAATATTAAACGAGGGCTACGTTCAAGTAAGAAACAAACCAGCACTCGGCGACTAGGCAAGGCCAAACTCCGCCTCCTCTGGAAAGGGATTGAGAACAGTTTGGGACGAGATTTTCCAGAAATGAAGGTCACCCAAGGGGATGTAGGTCAGATCGTCTTGGAAGGTTCCATGGACGAAGTCCTCAAGGCTGGACAAATGATCTCTAATGAGGAGAAGTTGGTGCTACAAAGGACAGTTTCTGACGTGAGCCCACACTTTTTGGCTTTCTTGAGAAGGCCTTTGGAGAACCAGGGATGCTAGGGGACTTTTTGGATGTTGGAGATCAAGTGGAAGTAGAATTAAGAGATGCTGAGCTTTGTATATTCACTTTCTCTGCTGATAAACTGGATGACACAGAAAGAAAACTGCATGAAAAGTTCAAGGAAGACAAATATTATATTCCTTACTGTTCCATTGTTCCATCTGAGCTTCAGGAAAAGCTTAAGGGCAAAACTATTGAGATGAACCAAGAACAATATAGGGCTCAGGTTGTGTTTAGCTCAGACAACAGGGTGTGCTTACTGGGCCACACCAAGGAGTTTGAAGAGCTGACTAAAGTTGTCGAAGAGTTCATTTTGGACCAGTCTAGTACTGAAGGCCAAGTTATTCTTCCATTCCCAGAGTTAGCACAAAAGTTGACAGAACTACTGCAGCTGCATAAGATGGACCATGCAGGGGTTACCATCCGTCCTTTGACATCTTCCACTAGGCCCATGGTTTTGCTGGAAGGTCCAATGGGAAAAGTTACAGAGGTCAGGAACTGGCTGGGTCCATTTCTGGACTCCCTTATTCAGGACAGAGTCACCATTGACTTGCCAGGGGCAGGGAGGTATTTTGAAAGTCCCTCTGGAAGAGAGAACATTTTAAGTGTTGCTCATTCTCAAAAGTGTCTCTTACAGCTTCAAGAGCAACCTGGTACTTCAAGACAGGGTTTGGCATCCTGTACCCTTGCTACTTACAGCCTTCAAGGGGGGCTTCAGGTGCTGGTGTGTCAGGGGGACATCACCAAACAGAATGCTGATGCCCTGGTGAACGCTGCCAACGAAAGACTTGAACATGGTGGAGGGGTTGCTGCCGCACTGAGCAAAGCTGGTGGCCCTATGGTGCAGAAGGAGAGCAGTTTACTTGTAAAGCAAACTGGAAAAATACCTACAGGTGACGTGGTAGTTACCACAGGTGGGAACTTGAAATGCAAGAAGTTGCTGCATGCTGTTGGACCGATAGGTGGGAAATCAGGTGGCAAAGAGAGGGAGTTGCTGGAAAAAACAGTCCTGTCTGCTCTGAATTTATCAGAATTGATGGAGTTTGAGTCCATAGCCATGCCCTGTATCAGCTCTGGTTTGTATGGTGTTCCGGTCACTGTGTGCTCTGACGCTATCGCAACTGCAGTGAAGAAATTCAGCAGTCAAGAAGGCAGAAATCTGAGCAGAATCATGTTGATTGATACAAGGGAAGATATTGTGAGGGCAATGCAGGAAGCATGTGATAGGATTCTCCAAGGGATCATTGTAGGAAAAAATGAAAGCGGTAGGGAGTTCCAGAGGGGTAACACTGCACAAGATGCAGCAACAGGAGCAACTGCTGGATTTCCTGGAGAAGGTGTTCATGTTGAGATCATTCAAGGAACCATTGAGACCCAGCAGGTGAGAAACTATGCTGAGATATTAAACCTCTGACGGTTAATTGTGATTCGTAACAGCCAGGGTTTCAAACTCTGATGTACCATAGTCACTTGCTTATGTGTAGGACCAGGAAAGTCTACAATTTGCATTGTCAGTGGAGAAGGCCACAAGTCAACCCTGATTAGGTTTTTAGCTTCATCAAGGTTCACAAAAAATATTGGAGCAATGGCTTGGCAGGCTGTAAGCTTCAAACATCATGTCTCCAAATGACCTTGCAGTGTTATCCTCCTCTCCAAAACAATCATCCTCACCATTCAAAACTGCTTTAAAAAATGGAATCTCATTGGTATCTTCCTCTGAGTTTCAAGTCTATTATCTTTGGTGCCAATTACAGCACATTTTCAAATGCGTAAAGCTGTCCAGCTTCCACCATTTTCACTGAAAACCAAAATAGGCTTATGCTAAATCTGGTACAATGCATCGGATGGAAGTATTCATATTAGATAATGTACTTGGTCCCTTTACAAAAAAAATGAATTACAGAAATTTAAAAACTTGCAGGCTATAATCATTCCTGTTGGACAGGACGAAATCTTAAAATCAGATTGTTCATTAGCAAACAAAAAAACAGAATTTCCACAATGAAGGATTTTTTTCCCATAAAATATTTCACCAAATAGCTTTAGTATCAAACATTACATTTCTAATTTAAAGCAACTGTGAGGGTCTTTCAGTTTCTGTGGGTTGTGGCACTCCCTGTGGACAAACTATGTAAAGTGAAGTCCACTTAAAAGCCCTGGTAATTCAGATTAAGATATCCTTAAATGTCTGTACCTTGATCAGGGCGATCCTATGCAGTTTTTTCTTTGAAAACCCAGGATTAGTGTGTTGCAGATCGTTTTAACATTTGAAACAACTGGGCCCAGAAGATGTTGGCTGGGTATGTCGTAATGTTGCCCAAATATCTTTTAATGGTTCAGCTTGAATTTCATATAGGCTGATATGGGAATTTGGTGTGGAACTGGAGGGCATAAAGAAGAAAGAGATAGTTGACTATCATAGAAAGATACATCACAATATCTGATTATCTGATGAAGAACATTGTTGCATACATCTAGGTGGATTATCTGGTATGTCCAATGGCGGGGCACGATCCTCTCTCTACCCGTATTGGAAACATTTTGTCCAGAGTGGTTGGACACCAGCTGACTGCAAAGTTTTACCAGGAAGCACGGGGAGCTACATTGCCTGGTGACACAGTTTTGGTAGAGGACTTGCCTGGACTTCATTCTAAAGGAGTTATCTTCCTCAACCTCGTTCCCTGGGATAATCAACAACAAGGGTCTGCAGTCCAGGTGAATCTGGTGTACAATAAATATCTCTGTGTAGGCTTGGTTTTACTGGCGTTATTGTGTCTTGTTTGTCAACCTTGATAATCCTTGAATCTTACAGGTTCTGAGGCAAGGCATTAGGAAAATCCTGGCTTCCTGTGGGATCAGAGGCTGTAGTTCAGTTGCACTTCCAGTGCTTGGCTGTGGGGCTGTGCTGCGTTTTCCTCACAGTGTGGCTTCCAGGGTTGTTCTGGAGGAGATCAAAGAGTTTGAACAGAACCGAATCAGCAAAACAGCTTTCCTTGTCTGTACAGTCATTCACCCGAATGACAAAGACTCAAGCAAGGTATGGAAAAGGCTGTGGCACAAACAATACATACAACCATCTACTATTGATTTCATAGGCTTTGACCATAGTAATCTTTATATTATGCCCTTACACTGAAATTACCTAATTTAATGTACTTTTCTTAGTAGAATACCAACTTAGAGGTTTTCCCACCATGAGATTGGAAGTATTTTCCAACAGTATTTCGAGAATGCCGCCAAGTCAAAATAATTACTTACAAAAGAGAATGAAAACCTCACTATTCTTTACAATTGGAGTTATTCCCCAGATGGAAATAACCACTAAATAAGTTTGCTTTTGTTTTATGTGAAACCATTTGCTCTGTTCCAACAGGCCTTCCAGTCTGCGCAGGAACATTTGCACCTCAGAGGATTTACAAATGATGCCAATCCAAACCAAGGTAATCATGAACAGATACTTTCTATCAAAATACTTATTTTAGGGCCACACGTGGAAAGAAATACACCCACTTTTAAGTTATGGCTAACAGGCTTCTAATCTATTGGTAACTTCAACATCAAATACATTGTGTTCATCTTGAGTCTTGTAGCGGTCTTTGACTTTGTTTTGTTTTCATACATTCTGAGAATGATGTGTAGCTGTCTTCCTTGGCCTTTAGTTAATATGTATGCTAAGCTAGTGGTGCACGTAGGTTGTAAAACAATTAGCTAAACAAGGCAGAATATTTTGATTGCGTTTACAAATGTAATAAATTATGATGGATTTGATTGAAAAATATTAAAATCATGATATCACTTTTTTTTAAAAACCACTTCAGCTTCCTTCTACCGCCATGTCTTCGTAAGCAATGACGAGGTCACAGCTATGCTGGGTGGAGTCAAGCTTCAGATGGTCAATGGTGACATAATTCGTGAGACCACTGATGTCATTGTCAACACGACAGACTTCTCCAGCAATCAATCTGGTATTGCTGATGTATTTTCTTCATATTGTATTGAAAATTACACATGCAGGACCACACACCTGACAATGGATTTAAGTATACACTTAAGTAACATAGGTTACATCTTACAATAACCATGTGTACACAAACTCCACAGGTGTGTCCAAAGCCATTCTGACTGCGGCAGGGTCCACTGTTCAAGCAGAGTTAGCCAGAGGTAAGATAAATAGTGCACTGAAAAATTGTTTAAGAATCATTTGGCTGGGACATTTCCATTGATTGAGGTTTGGGTGGCCCTTTGCTGACATCAGCATCTTGCAGTCACCGTCTGGTCATGGTTTATTACTCTTAAGTCATGATTTCCTTGCTGGTTTAGCAGACGCTTTTGTCCAAAGCGACCTGAATTTTCTGGAGGTATTCCTGGAGAATCTTGAATGAAGTCTTGTTACGTTAACATCTTGTATATTTGAAGCATATCACAACTTACACAGAAAATAATAGTGTTTTGTTTGGTTTTTGTCAGTGGGCACTCCAACAGACCATTATCACACCACAGGACCTGGATCGCTAGGCTGTAAAGAAATCATTCATGCTAGTTTCATGGGTGATCCCGGGGTAATTCGGAAGAAGTGCAAGAAAATACTGGAGCAGTGTGAGAACAAAGGCTACTGCTCTGCAGCTTTCCCAGCTATAAATACAGGTTAGTACTGAGTGAATAAAGCTCTGTGTGTGTGTCAGCATTTAAAAGCACTTTTGCATAATAGTCAAGTCCAAATTTTTAAATTAAATGTAGTAAGAAATTCAGGATTTAAATGTCCTTTAGTGTATTAGAATACCATACATTTCAATTAATTTATGACTCACTATAAAATATACAAGCAAAACGAGTAATGGATCAATAAATAGGAATTGATTGGATTTGGATGGGTTTTTAGTCACTGGCCAATAACAGTTTGCGATTAACAGTATTGAATAGAGTTTAAAGAACTGAATGGGAAAATAAACTGATAACTACTTGACACATTTCAAATGGTGGCTGTTCATTGTTTTCATATCCATTCAGGTGCTGCTGGCGTGGACTTTGTCAAAGCTTGTAAAGCCATGCTGGACGGCATGACCTCAGCCATAACGGACTTGAAACCAAATTCTCTCTCAATCATCCGTATCGTCATCCTGGAACAACCTGTCTTTCAGGCGTTCAGGTCAGACATGTAACTCAATCCATCGTCCATAAACAACTGAAGCAAAGGTTCAGTTTGAGCATTGACTTCATTCTCCCAACTGTTGTGCGTTTATTCAGATCAGAGCTGGAGAACCGCTTTGGACAAACAGCCGCTCGCCACCTCACCATGAAAGGTTTGTTTTCATTATAATGGCTGAACTTTGTACATTGGCCAAGTTATTATCAAGTCACATTTACCGTGTTTATGACCTTTGTATGTATACAAATTTTTAAGTATAGCTAGGCATGATAGGAATGTCCCCGTTGTTGCTTTTTACAGCCTATAACAGCCAATGAGAGCTTGAGTTGAAAGGAGGTTCATGAATTATTTGGAGAAAACAGACAAATCTATGTAAAATTAGGCATTAAACACCCTCATTTAGCTGAAATGGAAATATCCTTATCTTCGACTGTGAGGGTGGCATTCGACTGAGGCTCTGTCGTACAAATTTTCTAATCATCGATGATTTAGGTTCACCCTTTTAAGTCAATACTGGTTCCTAATTAAAAGTGTTGTGCTGGCATCTCCTGTGACTAATACATTTACTACAACCACATTTGAAAAATAAAAATGAAACAACTATTCTTTTCACCAAATAGAAGACAATTGTCTATCCAAAGCATAATGACCATTACCAATGGTCATTGAGATATTCCAGTCCTACTGATTTTTTCTTTTTTACCTAAGACTCTTTTTTTTGTGATGTCATTGGTTTTTTGTCGATGCAATTTTCAAATTCTTCCACCAGAATTTCCCATGATGTAATGCTTTTCTTAAAGGCTTTATTTTTTCATCCAGCAGATGTCGCACTTGAGCAACAGCATGAAACCAAAACAACTCGCGCTGCATTGTTGAGTTAGCATGCTAATGCTAGCGATCTTTATTATGCTCGTATCTTCACACTGCATGTAAATTTACCTGAAATGACCGTGATCTAGAAACACAGTTAAGCAGTGAGTACAGTATGTTAGTCTTCTTTTCTCTAGTCCCTCAATAAAACCATATTTAAACGCGAGGGGATGAGTCGGCCGGCTATCCCGGCGATGTAAACAAAGTGAAGATAGGACTTGGAAAGCATCACAGACAGTGGGACTCGGGTGTTACACCCATTGTAGACAGTCATGACTCACAGAGTTATTTTCAGAGAATATACTTGATTTCTATTACATTTAAGTGTGAAAAATCGCATATTAAACCTTTAAGTTATCTTATGGTAACTTTGGTTAAAGCCCGATAAATGGTTTGTGAGGCAATTGGAAGTTTCAATGGGCATGGTTGTGCATTTGATTGATCAGATAAGCAATATTCTAAATGAAGGGGATAGTGATAGTTAATAAACACTCTTGGTTACTTGAGCTTCCAGCATTGATTTTAATAAGGTGCCACATTTTCTCCTTTTTTTGTAGAAAAAGCTAAACAAATGCTCAAGAAGTGGAAAACAAAGATGTCAAGCTCCTTCACAACGTCCGAAATTCAAGACAAAACCCTCCTCCCCTTTAAGCCACCACCAGCCGTGATAAGTGTGATTAGTTGTGGTGGTCCAGACACCGTCAGGACCATCAAGAGAGATCTGGAGGGTCTCCTGCAGAAGCAGCTCGAAGAGAGAGTGGTGGATGTGCACGACTTTTCCAGGCTTCAACCCATGGAGCTGGAGGCAGTGCAGGCAAAAGTCCGAGTCTTAGCGATAAGCCTGGAGATTCAGAGACGTCAAGGATCTGAAGGGTCGGATGGAAACAGATCGGAAAATGCAGCCGGAGTTGATGATCGAGAGAGGACAGGTTCAAGGAGAGACGTCTACGTGCTGAAAGGCCTTAAAGAGGACGTCCTGAGTGTCACTGAGCTCGTAAACAAAGCAATCCAAAAAGCGCTGTGCAAAGATCTCCAAGACAAAGAAGAAGCAATGTTGGCTCTGAATGTCCAGTGGTCTTTTCAGGACATAAAGGGAACCTGGCGAGAGCTGAGTGTGCATGACAACTACCTGCTGGAGGAGGCCAACTTGAACAAAGACGTGTCAGTAGACATAACATCACCAGATGGCGTGAAGGTGAAAGTAAACCTGAGGGCAGGAGAAGCCACAGATTGGGTAACAGGCATCACTTACAAAGTGAAAAGAAGCAAGACTGAAAAAAGTACGTCGTATTGCGCAGATATTTACGCTTTTTAAAGTTTATATACCACAACTAGTGTTCGTGCTCCAACCTTTACCATTCATTTGTTTGACTCCTACTTTAGCCTTAGAGTTTCCAGAACACTGGGAACCTATGGAAGAGGAAGTCTTTAAAAAGGTGGAGCTGCAGCCTACCTCACCAGAGTACCTGAATGTGGCTCATGGTTTCCACCGGACGGCTAAATATAACATTTGCAAAGTGAGTATGCGAACTGAAAAGCACATGCATTTTCCTTTTGTTTGTTTTTAAAAATGAGTAGAGAATAATATATATATATATATATATATATATATATTTTTTTTTTTTTTGCCTTTGTCAGATTGAGCGTGTGCAAAACAGCTACCTGTGGCAAGCCTATTCTGTGTGCAGGCAGCGTATATCTGCCAAGAACGGTCCAGCAGAGCTCGGGGAGAAGGCTCTTTACCACGGCACATCCGCAGAGTCGTGCGACTGCATTGAGAGAGACAAGTTTGACAGAGCCTACGCAGGAACACATGGTGAGGAAGTTTTGTTCATATGTGTTTCACATTTTATGTGACATTTAGTAGTGTCGATGAAGTAAAACTGTTGCAGGCTGAGTCCAAGCTAACAGGCTCCTTGTACCAGCTGTGTAAGTGTGGGCTGGCTTGGTTATTCAATCTACATCATTGGGGGCAAATCAACAAATTTACCTAAATGTCCAAATTTTTGTTTTAAGAGTAAAATGTGTAGGATTTAAAGGTTGCTGGCTGTTAATGCAACCTTGGAAAGTTGGCTGCTCTGACGCCGGCTAAGCGAGCCTGAGATAGAATTTATAAAGGGAGCAGTGTTAGCAAAAACAATGTATTAAAGCGGAATACAATTTTTTCAATTTTTTCAATTTTTTTTTGTATGTGCACTCATGCATCCCCTCAACCAAGATTTGACTCGGCTTTCTAACCCGATCGACTTAAAGCTGCACCAAGAACATCTACAAAACTGCAACTCAGAAACAAAAAGCTGAGGGCAGAGTGTCAGCAGTAAAAAATACAAAACATTTCTAATTGCTTTTCAGTAATGTTTGAGTGATTGATTTGGGCTTTGATTTTTAGGAGAAGTCTACCGCTTATGCCTTCAAGTTGACATGCTCTTTTTCCCCACCTCACAGCCGCTCGCTTTGGAAAGGGAGTGTACTTCGCAGTCGACGCAAAGTATTCAGCAGGTGGATTTTCGCCACCAGACGCGCTGGGCCTGAAGCGAATGTATGTCGCTCGAGTCCTCACCGGCCGTCACACTGTCGGTGATTCTTCCATGAAAGCCCCCCCGCCTCGAGCCGCAGACCGGACCGACTGCTTCGACAGTGTGGTGGACAACCTGCATACGCCCGCCATGTTTGTGATCTTCCACGATGACCAGGCCTACCCGGATTACCTCATCACCTTCAAATGAAGAAGACATAGCTGCTTACTGTCAGATGATGATGATTTACAAAAAATTTGATATCTGAGATATAAACCTCAAATGCCTTCTTTTAGTTTATTTAAAAAAAATTTAAGGATATTTTTGGGGCCATTTTGCTTGGATATTCTTGGAGAAGAGAGAGGGGATGGGCAGATGTCTGATTCTAATCCAAGGCCACTGAGGATATAGCCTCTGAACATGGGGCACGGGACGTATCCACGAGGCTATCCAGCACCCCCATGTAACTGTTTCTTTTTCTTTATTGTCTCATATTAAGGGGAGTGCAATTATTTTGGATTTGGCAAACATCTCTCTATGAGATGAGGGCATTTTCTTTAAGTCTTTCCGGTGTTGAAAAATGAAGCCAAAAGTACAAAATCCTGCAGTTCGTCGAGGGTCAGCCACATTTATTGAAACAAAAATGTCCCCTGCAGTTACAGATGGGTGAAGTCAATCAGGCTCCGCCCATTAATATTAACCAGCTGGTTAGGTTAATTGGTGACTCTAAATTGCCTATAGGTGTATTTGCCTGGTTGTCTCTATATGTCAGCCCTGTGATTAACAGGCAAAGCAGCCAGGGTGTACCCCGCATCTTGCCCAATGACAGGTGAGATTGGTTATTGCCCCTCCCGCGACCCCAAACGGACAAAAGTGGTACAAAAGTGCCTGAACAACACCCCCCCCCATAACAATGAGTATGGTCTTTTTACCTGCTCTTTTGTAATGTTAAAAGACAAAGATTAAGGTCTTTTACCTTCCTGTTTGTAAAGTGTCTTCAGATAACACTTCTGAGTTGACGCTATACAAATGATTGATTGATTGATTGATTGATTGATTGATTGATAATGGATGGTGCATGCGTGCGGTATATATGCATACATTTAGAGATTTGTTATTATGCAGGTTTTTTCTGTCTGGGTTATTACTTGGGGTCAAAGTTTATTCAGGGAACTCAGTGCAGAATGGTAAGAGATTCCATATTAATTGAAATTTAACACTCAAATTTTAATTTCAAAAGTAGAACACGCCTCGATCCCCTTATTGTCAATGTTAAAGAACTTTTCTAAATGATTAAAAAATACAACTGCTTATCCTTGTTGGGAGCACGGTACAAATGAGATGCTAGAGTTGAGTAACTGAATGTTTTGTTTAACCAGGAGGAGGGACTGTATTGATGTGCCAGGTCTTCACAAAATCTAGTTTGTTACATATAAAAGAATGACAATAACAATTCTCAAACCTTTATTGGAAGTTTAAGTTGGATACAACCTTTAACAATGTCACTGAAACACCTACAATAAAATACTGAAACTATGATTTTTGTATTATGTTTCTCTTTTTTTTACGATGTTGAGGATGTAAATAATAAGTCTTGTGAAGAAAAAACATTTTGTCAACCTTTTAGTATGGAGTGCAAAAGTTGGAAAATTTACATTTATGTGCTCTAATTATAAACAAACTACAGTGTTACATTATGTTATTGAAAATGACCTTGAAGTAAAACTGGCTAACTTCTTGGTAGTTTTTTTTTTTTTTTTGTTTTTTTTTGCTAAGTTTTGTTATTTAACTCTTTTTAGTCAGCGATAAAGTTTTTTTATGAAATCTTCCTGAATAGTTTTTTCACACATGCCCCTTAAAGTGGGAGATTTTCGCTGCCGGGCGGGGGAGGCATGATATGACGTTAAAGGACTTTTAGAAGCCACTATCCATGATGATAGCTTTGAAGTATCAATGAGAGAGTGTAAACGAACATGGTGGAAAGCTGAAAAAGAGTATGAAGTAGCATAAGTATTTGCATGAAGATCCACCAGTTGCAGGCACAATATATCGACCCAATCCATTCTGTGGCACGACTTTTCCTGAATATTTCCTGTTCACATCTGGCTTACATTTTAGGAGGAGGCTGGCTGGAAGAAGTCCAGTTTAAGTTGGTTTGCCATTTGGGTTTACATATGTAGCTCAACCCCAAAATTTGAGGGAATATCCAAGAGTTTTCTTGCATTTGTGGAAAGACGATTAGTTTCCTTACTTGATATCATGCATGTGTGCAAAGACTCGGATGAAACCGAATCTCTCTGACCCAGCACCTATTAATAGCTGCTTGTTTATGAACTGAGGAAAGTAATGTCTGAGAGAGGAAGGGTTTGAGGGAGAAAGCTTTGTGAGGGACGAGAATAGGACATAAAAGAAAGATTAGCCACTAACATGGAGTTTAACAGACGCTACCTGCCAATGGAATGGGAAGAGCGATGGAGAAGAGAGAAGGAGAGGACGAAAAGAGTGATTGAAGAAGGTGGAGATGAAGGAATAGAGCAAGAAAAACAGGCACTGAGAAGAATTGTAGCTTACAATGACACCAGAATGGGGCTGACGAATGGGAGGGGTAATAAAGAGGGGTCAGAGGTGAGGGCGAGTTGTTCAAGTCAGGAGGGAACAGTGGATCCTATCAGCAACGAGGCATTTGAGGATGAGGGACATGGCGATCATGTCCGTGCATATCGCAATGAAACTTGTGCAAATGATGTGTTCACTGCCCTGAAGGAACTCTGGGATTCATCCCTTCTCACAGACCTGACTTTGACCACTGATAAGAAACGCTTTGAAGTTCACTCCACTGTTCTTGCTGCTGTCAGCTCCTTTATCCGTGATGAACTTAGATCTGAAAATGTGGAACAATCAGATAAAGGGGTCCAAAGGATGTTGCTTACTCTGGGTCCTGAGGTTGATCATGTAGGGCTACAGGCAGTTCTGGAGTTTGCCTACACTGGAGCAGTGTTGTCTCTGAACCAAAACAGTGTGGTTCAGATTAAGTCTGCGGCTCAAGCGTTGGGGGTTCCTAGAGTACTGGATCTCTGCCAGAAAGAGGTGAGGCTAAAGGATGGTGGAAGTCCAGAAAAAGAAGAACAACAGATCTCAGCTCTGGAGGAGATGAAGATTACTCTAAAGTCCATCAAACAGTTGTGGGATGATGGAGTGGGATGTGATGTGGATTTGGCAGTGGACGGTGCTTTATTCCATGGTAAGCAGACATAAGCTTCTTCTTGTACCTTCATACTACGTGTAGTGAGGGGTTCTCTCCCTCGCTGCAGCTGTATGGCACTGTGCCAGGTTAACCAGCACGCTAATGAAGGGGCAGTGCCATGCGCACCATTAAATACAGGTAGTCCAGTTCCCTGGTGGTGCTTCTTCACAATTCCTTTTTTTTGTTGTTGTTGGTGTGCAGTGTCACGGGTGGTTATTTTAAGGACCCTTCCCCCCTTTTGGTTCCCCTGCCGCATGGTAAACCTCAGCCCTGTTCCCCCTCCCTGGTCAAGTGCCATTATTTGGCTAGTTCTATTAAAGTTATTATTCATGTGCAGGACATTAAGTTTTCGCTTTTGCAATCAGTTGACTTATTTTATTCTGTTAAATAAAGTTTTCTTAATTTTAAACGTGAAACCGTCTCTTGCCCCGGGGTATATATCTTTTTTGAACCTGTGTGACCCTAGTATTTAAAAATTAGCTTTAGATATTCCTGGGGCGAAATTCCCCCAGGTTGAGTTGTTGCAACAAATTAATCCACCGCTCCTGCTTACATATGCATCTTTTCTAATTAGCTCTGTCTCCAGTCCACAGAGTAATCCTTGCGGCAAGCAGTGACTACTTCCGAAGCATGTTCACCTGTGGGATGAAGGAATCTCATCAGACCTGTATAAACCTTCCTTTCCTGTTAGCTTTTGAGTTGGAGGCTCTCATTGGCTACTCCTACAGTGGGATCCTTCCACTGAGCTGGGACTGTGTCTTTGAGATCACCTGCACAGCCCTTCAGCTTCAGTTCCAACCAGCCTCCTCAGTTTGCTTCAACTTCCTGCAACAAGAAATGGATGATGGCTCCTGCCTGGATGTGGCATCTTTTGCTGAAGCCTATGGGATATCTGACCTTCATGAAGAAGCCAACGACTTCGTACTGAGGAATTTTTGGGAGGTGTCAACCACGGCAAAGTTTAAGGACCTACCCGCCGAGAAGCTTCTAGACATTATCCGCTCTGATGGTCTGTGTGCGCCCTCAGAATTGGCTGTATTTCGAGCGGTATCCTCCTGGGTCGAGGCGGATCCTGAGGAAAGATTGGGTCAGGCTGGCTTATTGATGACTGGAGTCCGGTTCCCCCTTATGACCTTCCGAGAATTTAGGGAGGTCAGGGCAATTAACCTGCATATGGAGTGCTTTGGAAACAAGGAAGTGGAACTTTATGGTTCAGCACTCAAGGAATTTGGATTCAGCCTTCCCAAAAGCCAGGATCAGTGCCGGATCAGGCATCCTAAAGACGTTCTGGTTCTTGCCGGGGGAGACCAACTGAATCCAGATATGGGTCAGCGCATACCAAGCAAGGAGTTATGGTTTGCAAACTCTCTTCGCAGCGGTACAGGGTTGGTTAAAGAGATGGAGTGGAGAAAGCTGGGGGTGATGCCAGACAAGCCAAAGTTCAGGCATGGAGTAGCAGCAATGCTGGGAAGGTTGTATGTGGTTGGAGGATGTGATTTCTACACCAAGGACGACATGATGAAATCTGCCTACAGGTAAATAAAGACAGACAGAAAAACACTGCCACTTAGCAACAGATAGTTACACATTCTCTCCCCTTTTGATCTTTACTTCTAGCTATGACCCTGTGAAGGACAGCTGGAAGAGGTTAGCTGACATGCAGGAGTTTAGAAGTAACTTCTCATTGGTTGTATATGAGGAGCATCTTTACGCCATTGGTGGGGATAGAGAGCTGAATACCAACCTAGACAGCGTTGAGATGTACAACCCAGACACTGACTCATGGAGGTAAGATTTGTTATGCCACACCACATGGTATTGAACAAGTTGTATGGATGCCTCCCTTAAGTTTGACATTCAACAAAATGTCATGATTAAAAAGGGGTGACTTTACCTATAATTTTGTAACACTTGACCTTTTACAATCAGTATTAAATTACACCAGGGATTCGTCCGGAAAATTAACCTAATTAGTTTAAACTATCGTGAATTAAATAAACCCCCAAAATTAATACATTTAACCCAACACAGCTTATCCCAGTACTTATTTTATATTTGTTTGTGAAATCCCCAAAAATAATGTATACCCCACACGGAGCGTTGCGTCATCAAACAATTTAATTATAACAAAAATATCCCTTTAATTAATCCCTTTATAACTCCAAAATAAACTAAAAGTCCCCAACAAACGAAATATACATTAAGAACCCCGAAAATTAGGTCGAATTGTATTTTTGTCTCTTTTTAAAGTCCAACAAAATAATCTGCCGATGCAGCCGTTCGATCCTCCGAGACATCTTTCTCTTTAAAAAAAAAAAAAAAAAAAAAAAGTAATCCAACAAAAAATCAACCGATCGCTGGTATACCAGAACAAAAAAAGAAACGATCTCACCAAATCCAAGCAGAAATAATAATCCGGTCAGTCAGACCTCCATTGTTCCAGCGAGACCACGCGTTATCTGAATGCAGGTGAGGAGACGCGGAAGGGAATTTTCTTCTCTGCCAGTTAGATATATTCCTGTTTGATACCTCTTCTGATGTTTTTTTTCTCAGCTTTGTCCGGCCCCTGGATCAGGCTCTGAGTGGTCATGCTGTCACTGTCTTGGATGAAGGAATCTTCATCTCCGGAGGTTTTAACTGTAAGTACGTGTGTCTGGTTTCCATGTTCCTGTATCACCCTCAAAGAGGCACCACCTATCTGGCAGACATGAGCCAAGACCGGGCCCAGCATTGCATGGAACCCCTGCGAGGTCTTCTTTACGTTGCTGGCGGTGTCTGCAACCTGAGGAAGTTTTACACCGACCAGCAAGCCTGCGAGGTTTATGATCCCGTGTCTGACTCCTGGAACGCTTATGCGTCACTTCCTGTTCCTCATGTGGGTGCAGCATCGGCGGCCCTGGAGGGGAAGATTTATGTACTGGGAGGATACTGCCTGGACGATTACAGTGAGTCTGGACTGGTCCACCGGTTCAATCCCAGCACACAGCGCTGGGAGAACATGGGGAAACTGCCGGGGGCTGTTACTGACATACGGGCCTGTCTGCTCCGATTGCCAAAACATCTTAGACTTTAGAACCTGGCTGTTAATGAAGAAAACTTTGAGAAGCTGACAGACACGTTTGGTGTGATCTAGAAAAAATAAAGCATAACGAGCAAATGCAGCTCAGCTAAAAATATGTTGGCTTTCACGTTGCATACTTATTGCAGCCTGCTTTTTTCACATCTGCCAATTATTGGTCAGTTTTCTGACGAAAGTATGTAGACCAGAAACAGCCTGTTTTACAAGATGAGAATATTGCGGTTGGTGGCCATCAGTGTCCTCAGTAAAGTTATCCTTATTTTTCTACTTCTCAAAGCACTACCTTGCTAGCAATTTTATATTCTAAAAATGTTCTGAAAAAATTAACAAAAATGTTCTCATGTTTTTAGCGGGAAGTTTTCAGAATGTTCCAGGACAATGTTCTTGAAAAACATTTTATAAACATTTGGCAGCAACCTTATTAAAACATTAAGAGGCAACATTGTTTGAACATTATGTATGAATGTTCTTTAAAACATTTTAAGCGGGAAGTTTTCTTTAACTTCACAGAATGTTCCAGAGATGTAGCACATCTTATATCAAACACAATTCAGATCATTTAGGCAGAGCATGTCATCTCCTATCACGAGATGACAAAATAATGCCACAGACATAAGACAGGAACAGCCACCAACGTGAGCTTATTTTAACATGTTGCCAAAACAGGTCCCATATCTGTCATTTTTCCCAACTAGTGTTCATATGAAGAGATCGCGCCTGTGACGAACCCAACCTTTAAAACTCTTTCACTTCTCTTTGCAAACAGCAAAGGGCGCTGCTGCTTCTTAGTTAAATAGCTTTGAAAACGGAGCTGCTTTACTCGAGACCTTAGGTACAGTTTGAGCAATTATAATAAGAATACATGTTATTTATAACGCACTTTACATTTGAAAGGAAATCTCAACGTGTTACAATTTGGAATGAAAGAAACTACTGAAATCAAACATTTAAAATCAAACGTAATAATAACTATAATGCATTTTATTTGTAGGGCACCCTAAAAGCATTATTATAAAAAAACAAGCTGGGAAGCAGAAAATTAAGAAGGATGAGTTTTAAGAAGAAATATTCAGAAGTAGGCAGAACTATGCAAACATGTTTTTGTGAATGTCTCATTAGGCTGTGGCGCCCCCAGGTGGTCCTTAAGGGTAGTCCACAGCTGAGGAGAGGGAGGATTATATGAATAGTGTGCAGCTTAGTCCTGTGGAGACGGAGAATGTTGGTGTTGGTGGAGCAGAGGTTTCTTGTAGTGGGTTGAGAAGGTCCTTGAGGGGTGGGGGTGGGGGGTGATTTCCTTGGATACACTAATAGGGTCAACAGGGAGATTTAGTATTTGATCCAGGGTTGTACAAGAAGCCAGTAAAGTTTGTGAAGGATGGATGTGATGTTGTTACGTTCCCCAAGATGGCTAGGGGATGAGGGGAGTAACAATAAATTATAACCCAGGGAAAGAAATAGGAACTAAATATAAGCAAAGTTAAAATGGATTTATTAACAAACTAAAACAAAATGTGCAACACAAAACAAGCTTCTTCTATAAAACACCAAACAAAGCAGAAGCCACTCAATCTCAAACACAAAAACTAACAATCAAGATATAAACAAAAAGGCCTTAATCAGAACACAATCCTTCCACAGAAGGATCACACACATGCTCTTTATAGTTTGCCCCTGATTAGTAATTAGCCACAGGTGTGGCTGAGGAGCAACACCTGGGGAGCATACACAGGAGAGAGAAAACACATACACAAAACTACGGCACGTAACAGATGTGTTCACATTTTCAGACAGCAGGTGTATGAGGCAGTGAGGATAAACCAGTCTCTGCAAAACTTAAAGAGGTAAAGACACTGCAAACTTAAAGACTGAGGAAATGGAGTTCATGACTTCGCTTCTGCTGACCCTCCTGGGGCTTTCACTCATCGAGCCAGGGTTTGGACAGAGAGGTGACGGAGATACAAGTGAGTGGCTGACCGCCAAAGAGGAATTAATTAAAAAGTTGGAGGACAAATTGAAATATGTGGAAAGATGGCAGAGTGATGTCGAAGCTTTAGAGGCCAGGCTCAACGCCACTGTGGACGAGCTGAGGGGACAGAAAGCTGAAGTGGAAAAGCTGAACAAAGAGAACGAAGGTAAGGATTCTGTGATGATTAATTATTACACAATACATGTTTTTATGTACAAGTTTGTGTGATTCATTGGTGCTTTTTTCACTTTCACAGGCCTGGAAACGAGACTGCACGCCGCAGAGAAGGAGATTGACGGGCTCAAACGGGATAGTGGTGAGTCAGGATGGTCGAAATTCGCAGTGTGGTCTTTGCTATGGAGTCAACAACATGGTCATGTTGTTGACTCATAATGAGACCCTCCAGAAATAAACACTAAAAATCTTAAATAACAAGTTCGTCTGAATATAGGACAGATCCCTAAATAGGAAGTGAAAACTGAAACTGTGAGGAAACGTTCTGTGTGTGTTTGTGTTCATTTTCTCAGTGATGTTAGTCATCTATCAACATGTTTGCATGTTTCAGTGGCATTCACATTTTCTCCATGTATTGTTCTGATCACAGGGGCTCACCGGGTCGCATTCTCCGCCTCTTTGTCAAACTTTGGAGAGATTTACAAAGGACCCAGCACAGACAAGACTCTGATTTTCAAAAGAATCTTCTCAAATGTTGGCGACGGTTATGACGAAAGTACAGGTACGGTTTGGTTTACCTTTTTAGTTTTCTGTTCAATTCAGTAGATGAAGGAACCTGCATTTCTTTAAAATGTTTCTAAGGGTTTGACCACAGAAAACTGCTTGGTTTACATCCTTCGACGGTTGGATTTACGGGCCTATCATAAATGTCCTGAGGCTGATAAGCTCATTTCTATTTCTGGTATTTCTGACGAGCTCAAACAAAGTAAAACACTTCGCTGGTACTGTTTGTCTCAGGTCTTTGGAGGTTGTTGCCAAATCTGCACTGATGAAAGTCTTTATATTGACACTCGATCAAATTACCACATTTTTCTTGCATCATACAAATACAACGAGTACAGGACCCTAATGCAGATAACGAATGTAAAACTGTTGAAAATCCGCTTTTTATTTACAACACAATGTTCTCGATGCTTAGAGAAAAGCAGAAGGACCTGCAGGTCAGCACTGATGGCAGGGCTCCAGATACCATTGTCAGCTTTGAAGGTCTGTTACAGAGTAATACTGGCAGAGAAACAGAGGGTTCATATGGATTTATGTGGTACATGGCTGCAAGGTTGGACTTCATGAAAAGGAATGTAATAAAAATAAGAAAAGGGACATAGACTGTGTAAAACATGGGCGTAGTTTCAGTGACGTCAGCCATTGGTTTCTGAAAAGGCGTGGTCACTATTTTGGAAATGTCAACCTTACTTTCAACCAATTTAGAGTTGGAGCAGGGGTCCGCCTTAAGCCTCCTGGTAAACGGCTACAACGCGCCCACCTGCCAGTCAACTCAACCACACCTCTAAGCCTTGATATCATCAAAATGGATGGGTTATTTCAAAAACACTCCCCATACATTATTTACCAATTACGAGATGAAGAGAGCCCTTGTTTTTTTTTTTGTTTTGTTTTTTTTAAACCATCTTAATTTCAGCTGAAAAAAATGTGCATTTTAATATTGGATCTAAAGGGGATTCCTTGGCCAGCCTCAAGTGGTCACTTGAGGAATGGCAGTTTTTTTTCACACTTCCACATTGGCTTCATTCTTTGATACCAAAGGTTGTCACTTGAGTTAAACTCTATTAGTCATTTAGAAATGGGTTTTACTTTCAGATTCCAAGGCAAACCGAGTATCTGACCCTGCATCTCTTTGTTTTCATTCTGTTGCAGGAGTCTTCACAGCACCAGTGGACGGCCTATACTACTTCAGCTTCAGCACCTATGGCTACAACACTCATGTCATGGGGGCAATGTTGATCAAAAATGGCATCCGGCAAATTTCAACCTACGATTTCCCTTCAGTCGACGGCTCTGACAGTAGCAGTAACTCGGTTGTTCTTCAATTGGCTGCTGGTGATAAGCTGCACATGGAGCTGTGGGATGACGGCGGAGTGTTCGACAACTTGAATGGACACACAACATTCAGCGGGTTCCTTGTGTTTCCTTTGTCAAAATAAGAAATAAAGAATTATTAGTGCTTTAACACTGAAGAGGAATCTGGAATCTGAATCCGTAGGACCGAACCTCGAGTAGAACTACACTTTAAAAATTACCTTGCTAATATTACTGACATGATTTTCAAAATAAAACATAAAAGACAAGCCAAATTCAAACACGCTTTTATTTGAAATGCAGAAAAACAAATAGCACACTTTTTATCTTCAATAACATTTGAATGGAAATATTCATGTGCTTCAATATTCTTGGATCAATAAATGCAAAAACAAAACTTTTGTCTCTGTCTATTGTTCTTACTGTTTGTGACACCTTCAAGAAAAATTCCTTATGCAGCTGGTTTTAAGAATGGATCTACTCCCTCTTGTGTTCATAGTGGGTTATTGCTATATTCAGTTCAAAAACGTTTATTCTTTGTTTTGTTATGGGAATATTTATCAAAATAAAGCACATTTTGAAAAATTAAAGCTAATTGGAATATGTAGAATGCGATACATTCAATGTATATCCTACATTTGACATGCCTACAGTTTAATCTACCTGTAACAAAATCAACCTTGATATATTAGGTTAGACATTGTAGGACCATTAAAAACGTTCTTAGGATAGATATTAAACAAGATTTATTTAATATCGATATCTGTTAAGATACCACAGTGACAAAAACAGAAGTTCTGGGTACCCAATATTGAGAAAGTTCTTGTTTGTTTTTTTAAAGATACATTTTTGGGCTTTTAGTGCCTTTATTTGAGAGACAGGACAGTAGACAGAATCAGAAATGAGGGAAAGAGAGAGTTGGGAATGACATGCAGGAAAAGAGCCACAGCTCGGGTTTGAAGCTGTGTTATTTATAATGCACTTTACATTTGAAAGCAAATCTCAGTGCTACAGTTTGGAATGAAAGAAACTACTGAAATCAAACAGTTAAAATAATAATAACTATAAGAATAATACATTTTATTTGTAGGGCTGATTATAAAAACAAGCAGGGAAGCAGAAAATTAAGAAGGATGAGTTTTAAGAAGAAGTATTCAGAAGCAGGCAGAACTATGCAACATGTTTTTGTGAATGTCTCATCAGGCTGTGGCGCCCCCAGGTGGTCCTGAAGGGTAGTCCACAGCTGAGGAGAGGGAGGATTATATGAATAGTGTGCAGCTTAGTCCTGTGGAGGCGGAGAATGTTGGTGTTGGTGGAGCAGAGGTTTCTTGTAGTGGGTTGAGAAGGTCCTTGAGGGGTGGGGGTGGGGGGTGATTTCCTTGGATACACTAATAGGGTCAACAGGGAGATTTAGTATTTGATCCGGGGTTGAACAAGAAGCCAGTAAAGTTTGTGAAGTATGGATGTGATGTGTTCACATTTTCTCACCACCATCCGCTTTTGGAGGCTCTTGCTCCAGATACCCGATGAGGAGTGCGTTACAGTAGTCAATGCTCATAAAATCCTCCCTGTTTGCTTGTTGGGACACGACTAGACCTGGGCTCCCTTCTCACTGACATCAGAGGAACCCTTTGCAGAGCAGACAGCAGGTATATGAGGCAGTGACAGAAAAAAACAGCCTCTGCAAAATTTAAAGAGATTAAAGACACTGCAGACTTACTGACTGAGGAAATGGAGTTTACGACTTCGCTTCTGCTGACCCTCCTGGGGCTTTCACTCATCGAGCCAGGGTTTGGACAGAGAGGTGACGGAGATACAAGTGAGTGGCTGACCGCCAAAGAGGAATTACTTAAAAAGTTGGAGGACAAATTGAAATATGTGGAAAGATGGCAGAGTGATGTCGAAGCTTTAGAGGCCAGGCTCAATGCGACTGTGGACGAGCTGAGGGGACAGAAAGCTGAAGTGGAAAAGCTGAACAAAGAGAACGAAGGTAAGGATTCTGTGATGATTAATTATTACACGATACATGTTTTTATGTACAATTTTGTGTGATTCATTGGTGCTTTTTTCACTTTTACAGGCCTGAAAACGAGACTGCACGCCGCAGAGAAGGAGATTGACGGGCTCAAACGGGATAGTGGTGAGTCAGGATGGTTGAAATTCGCAGTGTGGTCTTTGCTATGGAGTCAACAACATGATCATGTTGTTGACTCATAATGAGACCCTCCAGAAATAAACACTAAAAATCTTAAATAACAAGTTCGTCTGAATATAGGACAGATCCCTAAATAGGAAGTGAAAACTGAAACTGTGAGGAAACGTTCTGTGTGTGTTTGTGGTCATTTTCTCAGTGATGTTAGTCATCTATCAACATGTTTGCATGTTTTAGTGGCATTCACATTTTCTCCATGTATTGTTCTGATCACAGGGGCTCACCGGGTAGCATTCTCCGCCTCTTTGTCAAACTTTGGAGAGATTTACAAAGGACCCTGCACAGACAAGACTCTGATTTTCAAAAGAATCTTCTCGAACGTTGGCGATGGTTATGACGAAAGTACAGGTACGGTTTGGTTCACCTTTTTAGTTTTCTGTTCAATTCAGTAGATGAAGGAACCTGCATTTCTTTAAAATGTTTCTAAGGGTTTGACCACAGAAAACTGCTTGGTTTACATCCTTCGACGGTTTGATTTACGGCCTATCGTAAATGTCCTGAGGCTGACAAGCTCATTTCTATTTCTGGTATTTCTGACAAGCTCAAACAAAGTAAAACACTTTGCTGGTACTGTTTGTCTCAGGTCTTTGGAGGTTGTTGCCAAATCTGCACTGATGAAAGTCTTTATATTGACACTCGATCAAATTACCACATTTTTCTTACATCATACAAATACAACGAGTACAGGACCCTAATGCAGATAACGAATGTAAAACTTTTTATTTACAACACAATGTTCTCGATGCTTAGAGAAAAGCAGAAGGACCTGCAGGTCAGCACTGATGGCAGGGCTCCAGATACCAGGTGTCAGCTTTGAAGGTCTGTTACAGAGTAATACTGGCAGAGAAACAGAGGGTTCATATGGATTTATGTGGTACATGGCTGCAAAGTGGGACTTCATGAAAAGGAATGTAATAAAAATAGGAAAAGGGACATAGACTGCTGAGCTCACAGACTGTATAAAACATGGGCGTAGTTTCAGTGATGTCATCCATTGGTTTCTGAAAAGGCGTGGTCACTATTTTGGAAATGTCAACCTTACCTTCAACCAATTTAGACCAATTTGGCCTTAAGCCTCCTGGTAAACAGCTACAACGCGCCCACCTGCCAGTCAACTCAACCACACCTCTAAGCCTTCATATCATCAAAATGGATGGGTTATTTAAAAACACTCCCCATACATTATTTACCAATTACGATATGAGATGAAGAGAGCACATTTTTTTTACCATCTTAATTTCTGCTGAAAAAAATGGGCATTTTAATATTGGATCTAAAGGGGATTCCTTGGCCAGCCTCAAGTGGTCACTCGAGGAATGGCAGTTTTTTTCACTCTTCCACATTGGCTTCATTCTTTGACACCAAAGGTTGCCACTTGAGTTAAACTCTTTAAGTCTTTTAGAAGTGGGTTTTACTTTCAGATTCCAAGGCAAACTTGCCATAAGTTAATGACTTTCACTTAGTTTGCCTACAAAGTCTATCTACCTCTTACAAAATAAAAATGTATAGATGTACTTGCATGCAGAGTATCTGACCCTGCATCTCTTTGTTTTCATTCTGTTGCAGGAGTCTTCACAGCACCAGTGGACGGCCTATACTACTTCAGCTTCAACACCTATGGCTACAACACTCATGTCATGGGGGCAATGTTGTTTAAAAATGGCATCCGGCAAATTTCAACCTACGATTTCCCTTCAGTCGACGGCTCTGACAGTAGCAGTAACTCGGTTGTTCTTCAATTGGCTGCTGGTGATAAGCTGCACATGGAGCTGTGGGATGACGGCAGAGTGTTCGACAACTTGAATGGACACACAACATTCAGCGGGTTCCTTGTGTTTCCTTTGTCAAAATAAGAAATAAAGAATTATTAGTGCTTTAACACTGAAGAGGAATCTGGAATCTGAATCCGTAGGACCGAACTTAAAGTAAAACTACACTTTAAAAATTACCTTGCTAATATTACTTACTTGATTTTCAAAATAAAACATAAAAGTCAAGCCAAATTCGAACACGCTTTTATTTGAAACACAGAAAAACAAATAGCACACTTTTTATCTTCAATAACATTTGAATGGAAATATTCATGTGCTTCAATATTCTTGAATCAATAAATGCAAAAACAAAAACTTTTGTCTCTTCTCTTGTCTATTGTTCTCACTGTTTGTAACACCTTCAAAGAAAAATGTCTTGGACAGCCGGTTTTTAAGAATGAATCTACTCCCTCTTGTGTTCATAGTGGGTTATTGCTATATTCAGTTCTAAAAAGGTTTATTCTTTGTTTTGTTATGGGAATAGTCATCATCATAAAGCACATTTTTAAAAATTAACAGCTAATTGGAATATGTAGAATGCAATACATTGGATGTATATCCTACATTTGGCATGCCTACAGTTTAATCTACCTTTACCAAAATCAAACTCAATATATTAAATTAGACAATCTAGGACCATTATAAACATTCTTAGTCTAGACATTAAACAAGATGTTTTAATATCAATATCTGTTACGATACCACAGTGACAAAAATAGAAATTCTGGGTACCCAATATTGACAAAGTTCTTTTTCTTCTTCTTTTAAAGATACATTTTTGGGGTTTTAGTGCCTTTATTTGAGAGACAGGACAGTGGATAGAATCAGAAATTACGTGGAAAAATGCGGTATCAAAAATTGGCAGTTTTGACAACCTGACATTCTCGCATTGTCTACAATGAAAAAATGCTTGCTAAATTGCAAATATACCGCATGCAAAAACGATCATGAAATTCACCATCAATAAACTTAATGTAAAACAACTACGGCGATGGAGTTTTTCTTTACGTGTTACAGTCGGAAGTGTTGTGGTAAACACAGCAGAGATGCTCGTATGTCATTGTTCGGTCCAGGCATCCTGCCCATATTCTCCCATCTTTGTGCACTGGGATCATAACGATGAACCATCTTTATGTCACTGTAGCTCTCATGGCTGTATCCACCCAGCACATAAAATTTGCCCTCCAAAACTGCACTTCCTGCTCCAACATGTGGCACCGGCAGGGATGTAAAGGCAGTCCAGGAATCAGCAGCTGGATTGTACATCTCACAAGCTAGCTGGTTAACAGCAGTCATGTTTTCATCTGTGGTGATTCCACCGGCGACATACAGACATTCACCCAGGGTCTCCATGCAGTGATTAGCCCGAGATTGAGCCATGTTGGCCAGGTAAGTGCTTCCTGTCTCAGGGTGGTACAGAAACATGGATGAAACACACTTGTAGTCATTGTTTAGCCCTCCTGAGACATAGATCTGTCCTCGTAAAACTTTTGCTACATGTCCACTCAGAGGCAAATCTAAGGGCAAGGTGAACCTGAAAGAAAGAAATGTATATCTTGAAATGTTTAAGTCTGGAGGTATACACCACAGAATGTTATACCATTTAAATTGACCAAATCTGCTTGGTAATAATTGATGCTATTGTTAAAGAAAAATCTCTGATTCTCTGTGGCTCCAGCCACTTGCCTAGACCTAATTACACCTTAGCTGATTTTAACTATCCAGACAACTAATAGCAGTCTCATGTCACTATTATGATGTGTGATCAGTGTCCTCTAACAGCCAGAAGCAATGTTTGCAAACTAATTTTATGTTTAGGACTGGAAGTTTATTCAAGACAATCATAATATCTGTTAAGCAAATCATTACTGACTACATACCTCCATGAGTTTGCAGTTGGGCAGTATTGTTCCACACTGTTTTCAAAGTGAAGGTCAGAATGCCCACCAATGGCCAGAATCTTTCCATCCAGCACCACTACAGAGAAAGTGGATCTCTTGTGCTGCATGTCAGCAAGGCTCTCCCAGGTGTTTAGAACTGGGTCATACCTAGAAATTTGGTAGATTGAGACACTTAAGTATAGCTGTACATAATATGTCAATGCAAGCAATGTTAAAATACTGTAATTGTCTGTTCTAGTTGGTAGTGCCTGCTCTCACCTGTAGACCGAATTCATGGTGTCATTGGAGCCATAATACTTCTTGCCTCCAAACACATATAGTTGTCCTTTGTGCACAGACACCTCATGTCTGAACCTTGTTGGCTCTGGCATGTCTCCCAACTTACGCCACTCCATGGCCTTTCGTATTCCTGTATGGTTCCTAAGGGAATTCCCGAACCAGAGTTCTCTGCTGATGCTGCGGTTACTGAGGTCTTCAGAAGTCTGATCACCCCCAATCAAGACCAGGCTCTCTTTTGGTAGATAGATGCGATATTGACTCAGCGGGGCAAAGTCATTTGAGCAAAAATCCTTTTTAATGGCTTCAAAGAGTTCTGCCTGGCTGTGATCAGACCACATGTTTAGAGATTGAACCTCTCTGAATTCCTTAAATGTCATCAATGTAAATTGGATGGTTTTCATTAGTTCTTTAGCAAGCTTCAATCTTATCTTGGGCTTTGCTTGGATCCACGCCACCACTGCTTTGAAAACAACAAGTTCAGATGGAACGCACAGTGAGCTACTGTTCAGGTACCTCAGGAGCTGGTTGGCTGGCAGGTCCTTGAACTTTGAGGTACACGCTACCTTTTGGAATTGCAGCAAGACATAATCATCTGCAACTTCAAGAAGCTGCGCCATCTCGTAGGCCTCAGCAAACGATGCCACATCAAGGCAAGAGTGAGGATTTATTTCTTGTTGCAGGAAGTTCTGGCACAAGGAGAGCGCAGGTTGGTACTGGAGCTGAAGAGCAGTACTGGTGATCTCAAAGGCACACTTCCAGCTGAGGGGTAGAACCCCGCTGTAGGAGCAGCCAATGAGAATCTCCAGCTCTGAAGCCAACAGGAAGGGAAGGGTCACACATGGCTGATTGGACTCTCTCATCCGCAAGGTGAACATGCTGCGGAAGTAGTCACTCCCCACAGCAAGGACGACTCTATGGACTGAAAGGGGGTTGTTAAGTTAGTCAGTACACTCTAAGCTCATTGTGGCAACAAACATGTACAGGACTCTGCAAGAATTTCTTGTTTTGGTCCATTTATATCACAAAATAGGTATTTTTATAGGCAATATATAATATAATTGTTGCAACTCTAGCAGTGAATGCGAAATGTTTTTGAAATGCAATATTCAATGAACACATCCATTCATACTTTATTTGAAGACAGACTTAATCTTGTAGGACAGACAGGGAAAATGATTGCATGGTATAGGAAAATTGAAAGTGAATTCACAGTGTAGGAACCTTTGGAAAAAGTCATTCAAGCATTGTGTAAACAATAAGATGGTAGCTTCATCTAAACTAAAAAACAAACAGCTGAGCCCAGGACCAAGGCCCTACTGAGTAGTGTATGAGATGTTTTTGCAGATAAAAAGGGAACTTATCAGATGTCCAGGGTGGAAAACAAGCTTGGCAGAGGTACAATGAAATACCAAGAAATCCTGTCTGTATGTCAAATGTCCTTGGGCAAGGTATTTAGTCCCAATGTGCTCCCAGAGGTGCTTAGCCACTGGTGTGTGAGTGTTTGTAATGACCAAAAATAGATCCTGGAGAGTAGGATGGCATCTTGCATGGCAACCTCTTCTGTTAGTATGATTTTGTGTTTGAGACTTTTATCATTTTGCATAGAGCACCTTGAGTAATCAGAAGACTAGAAAAGCACAATATCAAAGTTAATTTGCAATTTAATTCAAAAATGAATCAAGGTGTGAGTGAATTCAGCTTTCTCTTCACAGACAGCTTACTTACATTTCACTTTCTAGCTGGGCAGCCAGGGTTCAAAATAATGTGTCCCCTAAGTGGGGTCTATTTTACTTGCACAAGTCATTGGTACACTGCTCACCATGAAGTGGTCCTCCGACTGCTTCCAGAGTTACGTCACAGCCCACTCTGTCCATCCACAGCTGTTTCATGGACTGAAGACTGACCCTCAATTGATCTGCAGCAGAGACCCTTTCCTCCTTCCCTTTCCCTCCAGTTTTTGCAGATTTTTCTTCTTCTTTTGTGCAGAGATCCAGCACTCGTTGGATTCCTAGCGTTTGAGCTGCTGCCTTTATCTGGTACAAAGTGTTCTCCCTCAAAAGTGTCACGAGTCCAGTGTAAGCAAACTCCACAACTGCTTCCAATCCAACATGATCCACATCTGGACCCAGAGGCAGTGACCACTTAGAGACTCCGACACCATTTTCATCTGGTCTTCCGTCGACTGTTTCGTTCCCCGCTTTGCCTCTAATGAGCCTTTCGCGTATAACTGAGCTGACAGCGCCCAAGACAAGAGAATGTACATGAAAAGTCATCCCATCATCCGTGCTCAAAGTGAGGTTGGTGAGCAGCAATGAATCCCTGAACTCTGTCAAAGTGTGGAAAAAATCCACAAGGTAACCCTCCTTGCTGTACATCTTCACCTCATCTTCATCGAAATGATCCGGCTCTTCTTCCGAGGAATGTTCTGCTTCATCATCCTCTGCAGACTCAACCTGTTCTTCTCGAAGCTTCCCGTGATCAATTTGAAACATTTCTTCCGTCGCTTGAGATTCTGCGACCGTTTCGTTCTTCGATTTCTCACTACTTCTTTCTTCCTCTTCTCTTCTTTCTCTAGGAGTCCATCGTACTGGGATGCTTACAGTAACTCCACTCTCCTCTGAATCCTTGTACGTTTTCTCAACAGCTCTCTGTTCAATCTTAATTCTTTCAAACATGAACCATTCGTCACCAGAGCCCATGAAGTCAGATTTCCCTGAAAGTGACACGTTTTCACCTTCAATGACTGCTTGATTTTCTTGCATTGTACCTTCTGGATTTTCCTGTATATCTTGACCCCAAATTCCTCTGAAATTGCTCTGGCAGACGATATTGTCCAGTTTGTGTCTGTTCTTGATACTCCTTTGGTTCTTCTTCTTCTTTCCTCTGCTGCGCTGTCTCCTTCCTCATTCACCCTAACCTGTTTGTCTAACTCATTGTCACCTTCTCTTGCCCTTTTCTCTGCTTCCTCAACCTCCCAGTCCCTTTTCTGATCTCCCCCACTCCCTCTGCTTTTTTAAACTCCTCTTCCTCCTCCCCACTCTCTTGAAACTCCCTCTCCACATTATCCTCCTTCTTTTTTCTTTTTTTGTCCTCCCCTTTTGTTTCCATTACCTTCTCCTCCATCCATGTCCCCATTCTCTTCAGTCAGCCTCTCAAACGTCCTTGTTCTCAAAAACTCTCCCTATCCTCTACATTGTCTCCTTTGAACTCGTCTTCTTCCACTTCTCTACATATCTTCTCATCATCCATATTGATTTTCTTAACCTCCCTTTCCACCAACTCATCCACTTTCTCTTCTTCTCCTTCTTCTAGCTGCTCTTCTTTGGTCACCTCCTCTTTGCCCTCATCCACCTCATCCCCCCATCCACTTCACTTTCTTCTTCTTTCACTTCTTCCACAAAGTTGACCATATCCTCTGCTTTAACCACCTCATCATCTTCCTTTCCCAGCTCTTTATACCCCCTCTGAACCCCAAAGTTCTCAGTCATCCTCTATCCTCTCTGCCTCCTCAATCTCCACATTTTCTTCTTCTCCCTCCTTGTCTACTCCCCTTTCCTCATCTTCCTATTCTTCCCAATCTGTGTATTCTGCCTCATCCTCCTCTTCTTCATCCTGGTCTTCTTCATCACTGCTAACCTTCACTTCAGTGTAACATCTCACCCTCTCCCGCCATCTCTTCCTCCGGTCCTCCTCCCATCTCTTTCTTCCATTCATCCCACTCCTTCTGGAGGCATGGATTAGCAACATGCCACACTCCTCAGCTCAGTGTCACTTTAATTTGCACAAATCCCTCAAATCCTTCAAAGCGTTTACACCACTAGAGGTTTAAAAAAACTGCAGATCACTAACGCTTCTGCCTGGTTTCAGTGGGGAAAAAGGGACAGAGAAAATAATAATCCAGTGGCAGTCCAGTGTATTATTGTTGCAAGCAGCAGCTATATTTCTTTCGCTGTCTGCAGACACCAGCTGTGTTGTCTATTTGTTCCTCTCCCGCCTCCCTCACCTCCTGCATCTGAACGTTTGGAAGTGGTGTGACGACTTGCTATTTGCAGTGTACTATCACAAGGTTATTGAAATTCAAGGCTATTCAGGCTGTCACTGGAGACATAACAAAGGCTTGAGATTGATTGTTTCACTGAATATGCATGCAGTTCTTGCACTTCAGCCTGCTCTTAAACTGTTTTAATCTTTAATATCTGTTTTTTTTTAGTGTCCTTTTCTTGCCACATAGAGTTTATTTACAGGCCTTACAATTTTAATTTTTGAATGCTTCCATTTTGCTGTTAGTTAGCAGTTCTACAATTCTTAAATTTGTACAGTAAAGATCTTGACCAAGCGAGTAGAAAACTCGACAATGATCCTTTCCTGGAGTCAGCCAGGTCTCTGCCTGCCAAACTCAATGCACCAAGACATTATCTCTGAGGGGCCTTGGCGTCTTTATTCTGCACCATATGACTCTGAGATCAGTACTACATGCCTGGAGGGTCACCAGCGGGATCACGTTGCTCCTCCACGTCCAATGCAGTGGAATCTGGGTCAAGGATTGAGTCAGTCATGAGGGAGAGAAAGAAGGCAGAGGGCAACAAAACAACACCTGTCTTACACCTGTCGCCCTTTGAGCTGAAAGGAGAAGCAAACAGTTGGGTCACGCTCTAACCTTGATTTGAGAAATCGTTGTGGGGATCACAAGTACACCGACAAAGGTCCCTCACAAAGACGCCCTCTCCTTGCATTTCAATGTTGTTAAAGTGTCAACCGCCTGAGGTTGCATAGGGGGCCTGGCAATATATTTAACTTAAGCGTCAATCTTAAGTGAATGTTGGCCCAAATTAGTTTAATGAATCATTTTCACATTGTTCAAAGGAACATGTGAGCGATAAAACTGAAGCCACTTTCACACATGACCCCCCACTGCAGGAGATTTACCCGGTCGGATAAAGGGTTGGGGGGGTTCAGTCTGCAAGGCATTACATGACATGCAACACATGTCACAGTGTAATGTTTTGTACATATCCAAGATGGCAGACAAAGCTTTTTTATTTACCAGGTGGGTGGTGGTGAATTTTCTTTATGCTTTCTCACATGGACTCCCAACTTCCAACATCATGCAAAAGTTTTTTTTTTAAGGACATGGCTGGAAGACGTCTGGATAAAGTCTTTGCTATAAGACGCTATGAGATACATTTTTTGGGGGAGTGGCAGTTAGATCAGTCTGTAGGGACATTGTTGGGAAACTCATGGGTTGCCAGTTCAAGAATAATTAAAAAAAATATGGAAGTTGGTGTGGTGGCTCGAGAGATGTCAGGTCACCTCCCGAGTACTGCTGAGGTGCCCTTGAGCAAGGCACTGAATCTCCAACAGCTGGTGCGCTCTGACATCTCTTTATGCATGTTCCACAGGTCCTGTTTGTGTACATGTGAAGAAGCATGTCTCTCGATAACAGATTGTAAAACCAGAATTCACCCTCTAAAGTTAAGTGAAATTATAAAATGACATTTCGAGGCCACAGTTTCAGGGCCTTTCCGATGGAACAAGTATCCTATTAAGCAAAAGTTACCCAGCTGAAGATCTAGTGTCTCCAACTTTCAGGGTAATCTTTCCTCCTCAAGCCTCTAAAATAGAAGCTTTTATATTCTCACACGCCGAGGTTTCTTTTTGAAACGCTTTGAAGTTGAAGCACTGTGAGTGGGTGAGCGAGATGCAAATGAAACTGGTGGGCACCACCTCGCTTTAAAACAAAACTCCCACCTGAGGACACAATGACTCGGGCTTCTTTCACAGCCGTGCACATGTTAGACACAGAACCAGACAAAGTGAGTCTGGGCATGTTTCATTATTAATACATTGAACATTTAAACTTAATAGTTAAGATTTTTAAACATCCTGATGGACCATATGTGTCTCTAAACTGAGAAGGATTTAAAGCATTTAAATGTTTGCAAGCTCCTTCCAGTCGTTCAATTTACTCAAAGACATCTCTCCTGCAGCATGCTTTTTACACTTTGTCTTTTGGGCAAAACAATTTTTTCCCTTCACGAAATTTCTGTAGACATCACACAGATCCACTGGATATTTGAAAATGAAATTAATCATAGAATATCAAAACCAACTTCTCTGTACGTGCTGCATAATGTTTGCAGCTGTTCAGATTCACTTTATAACCTGCAGTGCGTCTTGTGCTCAGCAGCAGCAGCTCGCCATATACTTATGAAAAAGACATGTTTCCTCTGCAGTCCTGATGGTTACCATAACGACACAAGCAGTGAGAGGAGGAGTGGAGAGCGCCAACCTCCTTATGGGACCCCCCCCACCCCAAACCCTTTCCTCTAGAGCAGCAAACACTGATGGGAAATATTGGCCTGTGGGAAATTATATTGCTCTTATTTCAGCGATTATGGGATGTGTCCTCAGCTCTCAAAGCATCTGATTCTGTTTTCAAAGCTGTATGAATCATTTAGTTTTAAATGGAAAGACACTGAAGAAGGACTAGTTTGTCGTGAAAATGTGTCATTGTAAGAAATAAAGTATGCAAGGAGATAAGAAAAACAGTTATAGTCTCTGAACAGTTAAAGCTCCTGTGAGTAACTTTTGAGTTTGGCGCCCCCTGTCATCAGAGCAGTAGCTCTTTCTCTCTTTGATGATTTTGTCCTGTACATGTGTAAGTCGTGCTTTTTACCCCCAAAAATATGATTTTGCTAAGTATATCTTATGTAACTGTGAGAGAGAAGCGCGAGTACCGCCGGCTGTGTTGTTGTCGGAGCCGTGTTTACATGGACGGGACGGCCTTGTGTATAAAGATGTTTTAGTCAAGGACTTGAGAGAAGAACATACTCACTGCTTATTTAGATGTCATGTAAGTGTCTTTAGATCACTGTCAATTTACCTGCAATGTGAGGCTACAAGCTAACTAAAGTAAGCTAACATTAGCCTGCTAACACAACAATCCAGAGCCGCAGGGAAACGCAGCTCAAGAAGAGGAAAAGTTTGTCCGCCGCTAGCGCTAAATGGTGCTTAATTATGGTGTGTTCCAGGTGATGACTCTATCGTGCAGACGCAAGCTTCAGAAAAGCGGAGGCGTGTCCAAACAGAAGTTTGTTTTGGTTTCATGCTTATGCTCGAAGGCAACATCTACTAGATCAAAAAAAGTCGCACATTCTTCCTTTACACAAAAAAAGATTGTTTTGTTTGTTGTCAAAATACAATCTAGCTTTATTGAGCTTCTATTGGCCCCCATGAATCACAGAGAACACTGAACAAACACATGGAAATAAAAGAAGATTTAAGACAGGCAATACAACAGGCAGGAGGAGAAAAAGGTACTAAACATGATCTCAACTGGGAAAAGAACATCGTTTCTAGAACTAGTGTTGTGTGAAAAAAAAAAAGAAAAAATACAACTTTAAAAACATAGAAAAACAACAGGAGGTCAAATACACAGTGCAGAAAAGCCGTGAGAAAATGGCTTTTTTTCCCCCCAATTGTTTCACACTGAAAGCGTGACTGATTGTCAGGCTCACGTTTCTCCTTCAATAAAGATTCATAAATATAAACATAAACATTATTAAACATGATAGCAACCTTAAAACTGTAAGACTCTTCAGAAGGGTTTAAACAGGATTAAATTCGACTAAAGCTCATTTTTATTTTGAGGTTCGGTTTCTTTACAAAAACAAAATACACAAGTGCAGCAAGGGGAAAAAAAATAAGAAGGAATCGCCTGTACTCGTCCAGCAGAGGAAGTGTAGATCACACACAATCTGAGCCACATCAGACCTCTCCAGCTATTGCTTTTTTTAAAATAAGATCATGATTCATTAGTCCCTGCATTTAGAAAGTCTTTGCCTCAGAGAGAGAAAAAGGGGAATGGTTTGCCAACGAAATATGAGATGTCCTGAAACAGCCGTCATTTTGGAGCTGTGTAGGAATGGAGGAATTTGCATAGTTCGGCAGCTTGGTCTGTGTCATTATTGGTTTTTTTTTTTCCCTGTTTCCGTGTACAGTACCTGCGCAGCCCTGAAACCTTTTCCACCACGTATCACTCCTGTGGCTCGTTAGAATAAGGAGCGAGATGAGAGGTCTATTTTTACCAACGAGGGGGTGAGAAAGTGAGACGGAAGGCAAGATGTGATGAGACGAAAGCGAGCGCTGAGCGAACAGAGTCTGGATGTAAAATACGGAGAGGGATTCTACTGCAACAGGTCCAGAATGAAAGACTCAAATATTTGTTTAAGATTCATTCAGAACATGGGAATGTGAAAGAAAATCAAGCAGTGGGGGTGTCCTTTAAAACATCTGAAATTAGGCGGCAAACGTGTAGAAGCACCTATTTTATTCCCCTCTTGTGCTATTCACTAACTCGTACAAATCGTTGGTAAAATGCTTTTTTTGGGCTTTTTCTTCGGTCAAGCGCTTGTAGCCCACGGTAGGAAGAAAGACACGATGACGATGACGAGGGAGAGAGAGAGGGGCAGAGAGAGGAGGAGGATGAGAGGAAGAGAGAGGGACGGGGGCCACAGAGACATCAGGCGTCTGGAGTCTCGGGGCAGATCGATCGGGCTCTTTTGCCGCTCGCCGCTCGGGCGGCAGATGACCAGCGGCCGGACCTGGGATATGCTCTCCTGGAAGACAAAGAAGGACGGGATGAGATGACCAAGGTTGCAGTTGTGAAATAAGAATCTTATAGTGTTGGAAATCTGAAATCTTTTCCTTTAGTTAAGCCGCATGCGAGCTGATATTGGCTCGACTTAGCGTGTAGCATTTTGGTTTAGCTTAAAGGTCAAGTATTATACTCTTCATCAACAAGTTTAAATAAGTCTCAGAGCTCCTCAAAATATGTCTGTGAAGTTTCCTACTAAAAACCAATCCTGATCCTGTATTTGATCATGACTATAAACCCCTCTATTTCAGCCCTGCTCAGAACAGGCTGTTTCTGTGTCTGTAGCTTTAAATGCAAATGAGTTTTCTGACCACGCCCCCTCTCTGGAAGGGGATGTAGCTTGGGCTATCATGTACTGAATCTGCTCCTTCTTCAAACAGTCGAATGCATCACCCAACAACAATATTTCCAGTGGAAAATGTAGAAGAAAAAAAAAGGTTGTTAGGGCAGCATGCTGTCTGACACCTACCCCGCTGCAGCTATTTCAAGTCTTCCAAAATAACTATATTCAAATAGCCAAACCTCTCCCTGATGGTCTCATTTTGCTTTTCTTGCTCATACCGAGGCACCAGTACACATTTCAGTCTGTTTCTCAACTATCTAAAATCTCCTCACTGGACCTTTAATGTGTCAAATTTGGCAAAATAAAAAAACAATAAACGCACGCAGTAGTCGATAAAGACAGAAATAGAATTGGCAAAATTAGTTTACTGCAACATGACTCAGTGTTTCCACTGCACTTCATAATGAGCATTTTCTTTTTTTTTCAAAGATTTATTTTTTGACTTTTTGTGCCTTTAATTGAGAGATAGGACAGTGGATAGATATGGAAATCAGGGAGAGAGAGAGAGAGAGTAGGAATGACATGCGGGAAAGGAGCCACAGGTGGGATTGAACCTGGGCTGTCCGCTTGGAGGACCATAGCCTCCATACATGGGGCGCACACTAACCACTGCCCCACCAGCGCCCCCATAATTAGCATTTTGACAGTTTTTGCCAAACGTTCTGCTTCCCTTTAACTAAATGAACACAACAATTTTACTCAACCGCAAAAAGAAAATGTACTCATTCTCAACTATCAAGAAAAGGAGACTGTTTCAATTCCATCCCTGCTAATAAGTTAGTAAACCTGGAACATGACCCGTCTTCTTAATCCTCTGAGTTGTATTGAATTGTGCCTTGTTGAGGTGATCAGATGTACAGAATGAGATTAACTCGTCTCTGTTTTCTACCTCCAGTATGGTCCTGCTGTGTGCTCTGTCAGGACTGAGCCTGAGGTTCCAGCGATGTGACCTGTGGCTCCGCCCACCGTCGTCTTCGCTCTCAGTGGTGTCTTGCCGCGCTACCCGTGGGCGCTTACGCCTCCGCGAGCTGATTCGCTGGAGAGAACCTGGCTCCTGGAGTCTGAAACAACAAACGACCGGGGTTAAGGGCACAAGGTCAGAAAAACTACGACGCACAGACGGAGCGGGTAATCTGTTAATTATCTTGTGTTAATTGTTTTCATTCAT